TTAAATTTGTGAAACGACATTATCCTCCGAAAGATCGCAGGACTGATCGGAAGAATGCACGTTATTTCAATAAAGTATCATCATCCACATAAATGAATCGATTCGTTTTCGATAATTGATTAATGTGGTCAGACTGTCCTTTATTTATGTGAGCACCCAGATAACGAATACGACTTGCAATATTGCCACCGAACAGGCGGAGCTTACAGCTCGATTAAAGCACGGTAGCAGGTATTCTCTGTGCGGACAACGAGGATTGAGGAACGCGTCATCTCCGAGGATCGACGGTGGTGGAATCCGATTCATTGAGTTGGCGGCGAAAATGCCCGCATACCAGATGAAACCATAATGTGGAAAACGTGTGTCTCATCCGACCTGGAGCACTCAGACCCACGTAATTATCAAACACACCGGTTGGTCCGATGCGCAGTTCCATGAGTCAGCTGAGCTGAATAGTTTGCTCACACGGATATGAATTGGAAGACGCCGAATCGGAGCCTCGATACGCTGCATTCATTCCGATTTCAGTGCTAACGAGCTCAATTTCAATCGTAGGGACAGGAATGTTGTTGGAGCCATTCTCGACTTGTGTTGATCATGGGATTGTCCGCGGACCGTGTCTACGGTTTTCGAGCATCACGGATGCTCCGGTAAGTCGCGAAATGGGGGAGATTTCACTTCTTTGGAGAAAATAATCATTCCTGACGTTCATCCAGCGGGCGCTCCTCACTCCTCATCCCCTGGTCGAATATCCTCACGGAGCAAGCCGGTGGAATTAAACGCCGGTATCAATTGAATGCAGAGCTAGAACGAAATCGCGGGAGGCGATTTTTCCGTGATTTATCGCGGTATTCCGGGTCGATTGTCCAGAACGATACCCACAATGGAGGCCATCACAAGCGATGTCTGCGGCGTTCACCGTGACAAATTTACAGCCCCATCGTATATGTGCGTGTATTGAGATATCATTCAACAATATATACGGCATCGTCTTTTTTTCGGGGAGTAATGGAGGACCGAATGTAAACGGAGCTGCAGGGATATACGACCTCCAGTTCAAATCGGTATCCGGTTGCTACTATCGAGCAAAAACTTCCGGCATATTGGTTATGTATATCGATCGATGTTGCGGTGACATCTCGACTTGGATATTCTACTGGCTGGAGGTCGAGGGACGGATAGAGAGCGTATGCGGACGTATGTGCGCGGAAACTCTGAATTGGAGCCTTGAATCTGAAGCCGATCCGGCTCCCGGGTTTCAATGCCTCGATTTCAAACCGTACTGAATACCGATTGAGGGCTTGGCAGCTCCATCTGACACGAACCTGAATAACGATTTCTTGCCTGGAGCGAGAACTTCACTAACGATTGTTTCTTCTTTCTAGGCATTTTTGCGACTTTTGCGCGAGGCCGGTACGGGTTGAGCCCCAGACAGAGCCGTGCTAAGTGGAGCACACGCCCTTCATCTGTTTTTCGATCCATCCATCCCGTAATACCTGTCTCTCTCTAATAATCGTAATCTCTGCAGCCGATTCAAAGCTCAAGACTCGGAGCTTGCATTGTACCGTCCCGAGCTAGAAGAAATTGAATTTACCCATAACGCGTCGTCGAAACGTACGTCTGGGTTCGACTCAGCGGCGGGTAATGTTCTCCTTGGAGAGAGACTATGATTCATTCGAGCAGCTGTTCCTTGGCTGACCCGCTTCGCGACAGAAGGATTTCGGAATCAATCTTGCTCGATAGCTCTGAGAGTAGCGATGGGATACGGGACAGAAGTCTAGCAATGGACGGAGACACCTAAATCTCTATCCTAGGGGGAACGAATAATTTCGACCGATGAATGACGCTTCCCTTAAAAAAGAAATCAGATCATACGAACCGAAATCTTCCTGGCCGCTGGCGAAGATACCGAGTTCATCATCCGTACCGCGGTCGTCATCGTCCGCACTTGTCTGGGGTGTCCTCTTCCAAGGTAGATTTAGCGTGAAGGTGCTCCTATAGATCTTCTGCATTGTCGAAGAGTATGGAACACAAGAAATCCGAGCGGGTTGAGCTGTCACTTCCCTTGGCGCAGCGTGGACTTCGGGCTCCGAATCGGTTCAATCTGCCGGTCCGGATGGATACTTCCTGACTGTGACTACAGTAGGGAAATCACAGACATTTTGAGTATTGTTCGGTGGAATCCTCGTTGCTTCCTGTTGTCATGGCTGTGAGAGCCACCGTTTCTGCTGTTACCACTCCTGTCGGGCAGCGACAGCGTCGACATCTGATCTGCCGTTCCACATTGTCAGGAACTCCTCCTCTGAACAATAGACTTAGTATTCCTTCTGCACATGACGGAGGAGAGTTCACAGAGCATGCGCGCTCTCGCGGATCTCCGAGACGGTCCCGTCCCGCAGATCTCGCACGAATCCCACCGAATCGGAGGAGAACCGACTCTGCGGTGCCGTCAAAGGAGGGGTCTGGAGGGAGTGGTTTCGCGACGGGGTTACGGGAAAAGCTTCAATCAAAACGTTTTTGACTTCCCGACAGGGACGACTTCACCGAAAATGGCGGAGGCGGCACGAGCCATGGTCGGCTGAGCGAAGGAGCGGGCGAGCACAACGCCCATTCAGCCACCTAATGGACGTGCCAGCGGAGTTCGGTGCGTTCATCTAGTGCGTAACGCGGTCACGTTACGTCCACCTCTTCAGGGCTCGAACGCAAATCGTATTTGAGACCTGTTGAAGTCCCTGTGCGAGAGGCTAATCTGAATGATTCACGGACGCGCAATTCTAGAATTTCCCGATGGGCCGGATACCTCGCGATCTGTCACTTACTGTCAATCACATGCGCTGCGACCCAAAACGGACGTGTCGGAAATGGGAGAGACCCTACAACGACGGCATTACATCTTCCGTTGATCATGCCGTGGACAGTAGCAAATGCGGCGAAGGATCCTAGAAAGGACCGTCGTCCCTTCGCCGAAACCTTGATCGCGATATAGTAATGGTGTCTGTGAATGATGCTTCAAAGAATTACCGCAGCGAATGCTATCCTGGAATGTCTGGAAATGATGACGCTGTTTGCGATTCAGACGAAGAGGAGGATCTCTGCGAAATAAAAACCGAGAGTGAGAAGACCCGTAGAGAAGGTAAGACGAAGTCGAATGATTGGTATATGCGGGCGGCACGAGATTAGGTGCTACCCGAGGAGACCAACCTTCGGTAGAAATCTACTCAGCGCAGTATAATGCTCGAATCCCGATCGACGTCGCACCGTGGAACGACTGCCTGATACGTAGCGATGCAGATCCATCGCGGAAGCCGAAATTTTCGCGGGAAACGGCTGCGAAAGGCCGCGAAGTGCCGCAGATCGTCAACATGACATAATTTATCTCCTTCCCCTTCTGCGATGAATCTGCATCGTTACTGATAAGCTCTGCGCCTGCAAGTCCCGCAGATTTCCTCTGACGCTGCGTACACTTTTCGCCGCTCTGAAGTTCTTCCGAAATCATGCGTGTCGCGTGTGTCCTGGAAACTCTTCTAGGTTCCCTGCTCCGGAGTCGATGGAGCAGAAGACCGCAGAGTGGTGAGTTCCAGGAATGAGGACGCGTGTTTTTTTCCGCGAACATCCTCAGAAAGTTTGGCTGATCTTTATTCAAGCGCAGTCTGAGGAGAATGAACGCTCCTCATACTATCTTCTCATAAGGATTCCGGGGGAATCATGTCCGTTACAATATTTTTGGCTCGGGCGCGATTCAGTTGAATCCCGCGGTGTATTCTCCTAGCGATTAACCGCAGCAAACACATGCAAGGGGAACGTCTGGACGTCGCCGTTGCTCGGTGACCGCGTTTCCCCCTCATCTCTTCCACTTTCGGGACAAGCCCGACCTCGGTGCGTATGTCTGAGGCCCGAGTCGGCTCTCGATGGGATTGATAGCGGAGGGGATGGAACGAATGCTCATCAACGCTTTCTTCCCGCCCATTCGATCATCTCCGTGGAATTCCGGAGCGTTGTCGGATCGCAGGAAAGAACCATTAACACAAGATTGACTCCGGGGTACTCTGTGGGTTTAAAGATACGGAGGAGCTTGTGTAGCACTGCTCAAGCGACGTTTCGTGGGAGGCCGAACAGGAGGTCGCGTACTTTCCTCCATTTTCCCTTGGTTCATCTGTCGCTCTCACGGTGATATTCGACAGCACGAGTACGTACGTTTTAATGTATGTCAGCAACGTCTCGGACTTCGGACTAAAGCGATCAGGGCTCTCTTGGTCCGTCAAGCTGGACGATTCCGCCAGGCTTAGAGAGAAGGAAGGTCGAGGAAGGCTTTCCAGCAAGGGGAAGCGCGAAGCAGGGTCTTTCTGATATTGACAGGTCATAGAAGTGAAACTCAGTGAGGAAGGTTTTTGCGCAAGTCGCGCTCAATCGAAAATTTAATTTATTTATATACAAAATAAATATTCAGGCTCATGGCACAGCGATGATTTCAGTTTCAAACTCGGCACCGGGTGAAACAAAGAGCCTAGGTGCGACGGAAACCCTTCTCCCCAGCCGGAGCGAAACTCTAAATCGATATAGTGACAACTGACTTGGAACACTCCGAAATGCAATATCGATGCGTCTCGGTCTGATCGGAATCCACCTAGCCCACCTGGCGTTCTCAAGTTTATGCTTCAGAGAAGACAAGCCGCCGTGCCGTCTGCGCCTGTCGAGAACTTCGTCCGCTTGGGGAATTTATTCTGCCGAAGCAGCGAGTGATTGATATGCTTTAGCGGGATTTGGGCGGGGAATTCCAGGCACACGAATGGTCTCTTGGTCGGACGGGAACACTTTCAAGCAGAAGCAGGACAAAATTAGACAAAGGGGCTCCGTCTGTGAGGAGACAGAAGTTTCGTGTCCGCCGATCGCGCACCGGGACTGGACGACGGCGAAGCGAGAGCGAGCGCTGAGTTCTGACTCGAGGCAACCCGAGCGAGCGGCAGAAGGAAGAAGCTGAAGTTTACAGGAGAGTACAGGACCTACAGGTAATTTCGTCGACAAATGTTGAAGTCGCTTAGACTCCAAGCGCCTTCCTCTGTACAAACAGTGTAGCTGAAATCCTCTGTTTGAGAAGTCGCGATCACGTATCCAGGCGAACAAACGAACTCGCACTCGGATTTTACGGGGAACGACTCAGTTTCAGCAAACTCGACTTCGTGCCTCGGAAAGCGACATCTCGGTATGGTGTGTTCACCCGGCGTGAACCTTTCACACGAAGTGGCTGGAAAAACGAAAACAAAAGGACTTGAGTATCCACGGAGCTACCAATCCGGAAGAGCTCTTTGTCCATGTCAAGACAAAACGCTTCGGCTTCGAACTCTGTCCTGTCGATTTCCAATCAACATCGATCGGAGCTGTGACTCTAAAGCGTGATTCGTGATTACCTCGACTGGTCATTGTGTAAGTACACGACGCCTCCGACTGCAACTCCATGTCACGGGCCGTGCACGCGATCGAGAATTTCCCGAATGATTCGATGACGGTTCTGTCGCACGTCACCTTGACTTCCCCCCCGGCAACCTCCGATCTGAAGACCGGCGACTTGATCGGATACGGGAATGTCACGTCTCTGATGACTTCGTCCTTACAGCCGCTCACGAGCAGAGGCGGGGTGCGCGCTGTCAATGAGCGAGACTTTCGTCAGCTAACGGAATCTATTCCGCGAATGGGATTGGAAAAAAATCTCGCCCGAGGCATCGACTCGTCGGACGGCAGAGAAAGGTTTTCCTACTGACCTCTGCAACTCGGCCATCGATATCCGGGTTCGAGGGCACCGCAGCGGATCTCGCCTCTCGATTTCTGTTTCTGTGGGATCACGAGCCCTTCCGGACATTCCAAACTGCAGAGAATGTCCTCGCCAGACTCCCGGCACAGGACATTGGGTGTTTTTTCTGCGATTTTTCGACATTCGCGAGACGACGCGACGTCGTCGAATGTCGGTGGCAGACACTCAAAGTCTTTCAAGCCTCGCCATGAGCCCCCGACACACGAAATCCGACTCCTGTTTAAAGGCTCCAACGAAACCGAAGGTACGTATCCTGCAGAACAACCCTGATAGCAGGGGACATTCTCTTTGACGAAAAGGCGCTTCTTCCAACGACCTCGAAGACCACAAGCTGACCAGCCTGAGAAGAGGAATGCATTCTCACATGATTCGGATTGGTATATTGTGTCTCCTATAAATTGAGGGAGCTCGAGGACAAGCATGCGGACCTGCCTACGATCGATTCGAGTACGAATCGGAGAGCCTAGCTCCAGGAATATTGTAACAAGTCAGGAGAAGTACCATTTTTCGGTGCTCGGGGCCATCTGCAAGCTAGTCGTCGCCTTTCATGAGCTGAAAAGGGAATTTCCCAGCATTATCAGCCTCCGCTTGATCACTTCTGACCTCTCGGGTGCATTTCCGCGACTCGGCCACGAATAAACTCGGGTATCTAATCAGAGGTCACATACGAAACAAGATAAGCCCTACTTGCATTCGGTGCTGAGATAAGCTAGAAAGAGCAGAAGGCTACTGTGATCAGAGGGAGCACGGAGGGGGGACGTCTCGATACAGAAACTCTGGATCAATGGACTAGCTCGATCCCCGATCTATTCCGTCAGCCAATCGTTGTGTCCTGATTCATTATGGACGTCGTACAGGGAATCCACTTACGGGTGGGTGTCTGAGGAGCGACGGTCGACGACGGTGGGGCTGCTGTAGTGGTTGTTGGTGGCGCCTTTCCTGTGGGATTAACAGGTATCGCATTTGCAGAGTCTAACACGTGGTGAAATTATCACGCATTTTGCAGAATAACACCTACCGATGCATTGTGGGAGAATAGCAGGCACTTTCCAGATAGCTTCACGCTTCCGTTTAACGCATTTATAGGGCATGGTGAGGCTACTCCTTAGCATGAAATCTTTATCACATTTGAAGAGGCATCGACTGCCCCAGAGATTCTCGTTTGTGCAGTAGAAGGACCCGTGTCTCAAGACGGGCAGCGGGGGGCATCGCAGAGCGTAGACTAAACACCACAGAACATCTTAGATTGCCTACCTTCATATGAGCATCCGACATTGGCTGATTGGGTTTACGTTTTGACGAACGTCTACTATGCACATTACCTTTCAGGGTATAGCGACACGTTTTGGCGGGAAGAGGGTACAAAGTTTTGAAGGTTATCGCGTGCTCGCCCTCGCCAACGTGACTACCCATCAGAGGACCACGAAGAACCATCAGCGGGAAATTCGTCACGAAATCATCGGGTCTTGAAAAGACAGAATTCGCTTCAAGTAAAAGAATCCCCACGGCGATCTCGAACCCGATTTGCATCTGTCAACGAGTAAATTCACTAAAAACCCACGGATCGGACCTCTACAGTGACCCTTGATTCTCGAATGTCGATCTGACATACCTCGCGCAGAATTTGAGCTTCGGTAAAGGAACTTTCGAAAGTCTTTGGTTTCGAGGGACCCTAGCCAGTTGACGGCTAGGGCAACGGATGCAAGTATCGTTGTAGATGACTCGCACAGTATCTGGCGAAGGGTTCATTCGAGATTAGGCTCCTATCGAATGCTATACTCGAACAGGATAGTGAAAGCCCAGGATGTGAGGGGAGGACTTTATAGCAGAGCCGCGGGAGGATAATTCGTAGTTATGCAAAGCTCAGAGCTCAACCGGAAGTAACCTTGTACCTTTAGGGGGCGGACGGTTACATGACAGGTCGTGACATGCTGCCGGCACTGAAAACCGGTTAGAATATGGATTTCTTGGGGGTGAGGTGGGACTAATGCGGAAGGACAGCTGAGCCTTGAGGCCGTCCACGCCGAAATCATAGCTTATCCGAGAACTGGCAATGTTCTGGTTACTTCTAGTACCGTTTGACGATGCTGGACGCTCAATGTGCGGCTGGTAATGTTGACTCGCGATGTACATTCGCTGAAGGGAGGCGACCTTTTGGCGCCGCTCGAGCTCATGGAGCGACAAGACCGGAACATGATTTTCGGAGTCTTTCTGAAGAATTTGAGTATTTTTTTCCTCATTCGAGTCCAGAACTTGTTCGTCATATTATACTCGTCCGAAGGACTCGGTACCGAGGGTTTCTATGGGAAACATCATCGTTTCTCCGTCACGTTGAAAAATTAGAATGGCGACCATGTCTCGGAATGATAAGCTGTTTGTTTCATGGCTAATGGTAGGTACCTACCCGTTCCTGAAGACAGAGGCTATTGTTGCAGAGTTGGCCGAAAGATGCCTGATAGTTCCGTCTGTCCAGGCGGTCCGTGTGGTAATGAATGGTTCCGCCTGAAACTAATTGAACGCGTCGCTATAAATCTCACAGGACTCAATCGAAATGCCCTGTCTGTTTTCGTCGATCGTCTTCGCGAGTCATAATGTTCTATTTGGGCCAATGCTCCATGTGCTCGCCGCTCAAGGTTTCCGCGACATCCGTCAAGGCCATCCTCCAGACCTCATAGGAATCTTCGAGTGCACCGTGACATGCTCTTCGGACGCCCGGACCTCCAGGATAAAGGAAGCGGGTGATAATTATATTACGAGGAATGCCACAGAGAGGACTTTCATACCGAGAAAGTTTCTAAAATAATTGTCTGATGTATTCCTCGGCCAACCCGCTCAAAATACAAAAGGATGGAAACGCGCCGACTCTCCTGACGATGATCGTGATAGGCAGCGATTTTCTGACTGAAGTAAGGGTTTCCTGAGACTCGGAGTCTTCAGGGCGGTCGATGGTGAGATTCACACCGATGAGAAATTGGGTTATCTTGAGGCGAAATTCGTCTCTTGGATGAGCGCAGACCGGCGGGAACATTTCGAGTCGTCCCTCGCAGGCCCAGTGATGTACTTCGTGGTGATGTACTCTCGGGCAATGAGAGCAGCTCAGTGTCAAGAGAAGTTCGGTGAGTGTTCTAAATGAGTGGGCCAGTCTCACGAGTGAGGGGTCTCAGAGTTCACACGCGGATGAAGATTGACTTGCTCTGCAGAGCGGTGCCTGGTGCCCGTCTGCCTGCCCGCTACTCGCCCGGTCTGGCTCGATGCGATACACTGTCGGTCAGGCTTTCGCCCCTCCCCGATCGCGTTGTCAACCCGCAGATAGGAGAGGAGATCGAGAGTACCGAGATATGATACATACGTATGTATTCTTTCTCTGCACGTGATCGGGGTGTTCTCATTTGGCTACGAGAAAGCCTTAGCCCATCGAAATCTATCCGAACATCGGAAGAGCAGACATCTTTCAAGAATCGCCTATTTGCTGAAATCTCAATCATGATCAAAGACCTCGTTGCTCGGGTGAATATTCAAACACCAGAAATCGTCACGCGCATTGTCAGCGCGTGGCCCTCCAACTCTCAAGGCCCGGCGCATGCCGAACGTTTCCGAAACAACGGATGGAAGTTTTGAACTCATTCCCTCAGACTGCTTCTGATGATTCCCCATCCTCAATCGCCAGCGGGGAAATGATTCAACTCGACAATTTCCCCGGGGAGCCTACGGTCCTCCCTCAAGAAGTCCTCATCTCTTCGAGGCGACTCAACAACAAGTTGACTCCCAAGTTCCACCGGCTCAGGAAAACTCACCGAGCTCTCTCGCTGAGACGACGGCCAGCAGCGACACAAGCAGCGTCCGAAACATTCCTCAGAGCATCGTCAGGAGTCTGAAAAATGATAAAGATCTTCGGAAACCTTCCTAAGGACTTTCAGAAATCTCTGAGGAGAATTTCCGTGAGTAGATGGAAGCTCCCGCGAACCTCCAGCACCAGAGTTTCCATAGTTCAGTGAAGCTTAAAATTGCATTCTCCGACGGCTCGGAGCTCTACGAGCGCAAAGGGTGGAGAGAGACGTAATGTCGAAGCCTCGATTCGGAAATTCGCGGTTAACGGACGCAAGGAGCACCTGTGTTCGAAATTTCGGTGTACTTGCAGTCCTCGACCGAGACCTGGGAAAGACAAACAGTCTTGTGGCAGCGTGGGCGGAATATCGGTGGTCTGACACCTCGTTTGTTTGAATCACATCACGAGAGAAATCGGAACAATTCCGGTACCGCGTTTTTTCCGGGCCCTTGGTGGGCCTCTAACCGGAGGGTCCGCCGAGGAGTCATGCTCCGCCCTCAGGATCGATCCTTGCGAAGCGTGGCATTTACTCTGAGGTGAGACGCAGATTCCATCACAGCCGATATCCGGCCTCGATTGGTTTCACCTCATAATATCGTATCACTCTGGAAGCAAGGTGGTTTCAAATCGTATGAGACCAGGCACCATGACGGTGATAATCACTTTCGATGTCGTCTCCGAGTCGTCGGTGTCTTTCAAGGCTGGCGCCGCGCAGTCAGCGTTCGAGGGACCGAACCATGAACCGCACGACATCAATGTCTTCACTCAGCGTTTCCAGACATCGAAATTTCATTGTTGACAACTTCCACCCGACTCAGTCAGAGTAGGCGCCCCGACTCACACGACCCCCTATGCATTGTCTGGAATGCGCAAATAATAATAGGGGACGAGTCAACGAACGAGCGAAACGGAGGCGATCGAATGAGACTCAGCCCTGACCCACGAACAAAAATCCCAATCCGGTCTCCACGGGAGATACGAATAATCTGCTCCGGACCGGTGGTGCGACCGTAATCGTTCCGGGGCCGCCGATTGAAGGCTCACCAAGTTTAGGGAGATCTTACTTAGGTCAGAGGAATGCCCGTCTCTACAAGCACTCTCTGTGACGAATGTGCTGTTCCACTACATCAAGATTTCGCGCCAGGCCCTATACCCGGAGAAGAATCTTGACTACTCGACAGACGACGATGACGTCAAAACGACTTAACTAATCGGTGCTCGTGCCAATGTGAGAGAAGCCCCCTGCCCCTCACCGTTCACCCGGAAACTTTTGATCTTCTCCCGTCATACGTTATTCTGCGTTTTTCGGGAAAACGGATGGTCAGAAGTCGTAAATTTCTCTATAGTGGTTCTTCAGTCGCGAAATAAAGTCTCGGTTGAGGTGATTGTCACTCTATCGGAATAAGGATCCCGCGGAGTCGAGAGGAAACGATATTCGACTCTGCCCTGGGCATCGAGCGCGTGGATGAGGATTTTCTTGAGGAGAAGTCAGGGATCGTCGGTAAAAGAAGAAGCATTCCGTAGCCTCTCGAAGCAGACCGCACGGAGACTGCACAGTGATTATTTTTTTTATTTTCTAGATTTCAATTTATCCGACAAGACTCCCGGAGTGGGGTTCCCTTCCCTTTGAGCGATTCTTCCCAGATCGTGTTTGGACAGCGGCACTCTTTGGACTTACAATTAATCGCTCGGGCTCTACGTCCCATCACATTGAATATGCCTGTGTCTAATATATGATGGAAACTTTCACTCCGTGAGCGTCTGCGTAAAGCCGGAGCGAAGACACACCCGGGTAATAAAAATACACCGAGAAAGGCGCTAACGGCTGCCAGAGTGCATGACTGCTCTCGACAGAGGGTCGAAACGGCGCGATTGAGAGCTTCTTTCCCCGGTGATCAAAAATGCATCAGAGACGGTATAGCGAAACCCTAAACCTCAACATTCTTCCCGGGAACTGGCGTGGGTTCCAATATCTCGTGCTCAGAATCTGAGACCGGAATTCGAGATCACCGATTCAGGAGCTCAAATCGACGAGCGATTGCTCGGGAAGATTGACAGCTGCCTCAGCATAAACGGGCGAGCGATCGGGGTATCCGAAACAGGATGGTCGGCGACTCGACCGAAGTGTCAGCTCATTGTCAATGGTCCAGAGCGAGGACGTCGATGTTAAGTCGTATAGGTGGATATGCAGGGTCGTGGGCACGGAAACGGAAAGGTGGGAAACCTTCCAGTGTAGACTGGAAAAGAGCCTTTAACAGGTCGTTAGCCGAACGCTAACCGCTTCCGTCGGTGTCGTTCACCTGCACGACTGAACAGTCAAAGAGCACCTCGACAGCTCTGAGAAGAGGCAACGAATGGCGTTCAGAGTCCGCTGGTGATGGTGCCTTTCGGCCGATGCCTCAACGGAGGCGGCTATGAGCCCACAGCTCTTTTCGCATCATAAAGCAAGAACAACACTCTCAAGGGAACCGTAGCGACGGCATGGGCAACGACAAGACGATCGTCCACGTTCAAGTCGATCGTCCACGTTCAAGTCGATCGCGGACTCCGAACCGTTTCCTGCGAGCCTGTCCTCGAGCCCGGAATCGAGCCCAATGCTACAATACCAAGTGAAAGAAGAGTTCTCGTGCCTAGATGCGGGGTTCGAAAAGAGAATCAAATCTAGAAGCGCCTCATATTCTGATTCCGGAGTACTCGAACTCCAACGCTTGGATCGCTCTCGCAGACTGACTCTGTGCCCGAGCCCCATTTTCGAGCCGTGACCGGCTTCACGTGCGGCCTTCACCCTAGAGCCTAGAGAGTGGCCTACTCGGCATGTGCACTAAGCCATGCTATATTTCTCCATTTATGAAGTTCAGGTGATGGAGACGACATACTTCACAGAGCTTCAGATTCGGGCGAATCGCAATCGCTTTGAGAAGGACCTTGGCCGTGTCTGCGGAAGCGACGGCCGCGGTGAAGCCACTCATCGGCCGAGAAGCGAAAACAACGAAAACAACAACGATAAGACGCGAGATGTCTGTAGGCGCGTCTGTGCGCGCGGGGAGATCCCGGCAAGCGATTCATCGGAAGCTCTGACTGAGGAACGTCACTGAGCCGATGCGGACTGAGTACACAGTGATATTTGAAGATTACCGCTCGGACACGAGAAAGCTTTCCTCATTCTGTCCGGCGTGAAGTTGCCTACTTTCCCAGTCTCCACAACAGATCAACCTTTCCGGTGAGCATCATCTTCATCACCGTTGTCTCAATCTATGTTATCATCGTCTTCATCAGCGTGGCTCGGGAATGGGTTGCGCGGCCTTCAGGGCGGAACGCTCTCTCGAATCCGGGCGTGAAATCACTGATGATATACACCCATGACATCAGGCGAGAAATAAATGTGTCGCGAGAGCCGGTCCTGACCACGGATGAGTTTCGTTTTTTTTTTTTGTAGAACTCATCGGGGTATCCCGCATACTCGCGGAACATTGATGTCACCTCGGAGCGCTCGTCCGAGATGAAAGTAATGCACCCAGTTCAAGATCGGACGCTGACCATTGCCGATAGGGAATCGTACGCAGCAATGGAATAACGGAAGAGGAAAATATCTCATTCCTTATCGGTCATGAGCATGCTGCAGGCTATCATATCCTTCATAACCGATTTATCGCCGACGCGGCTCCTTTAGGATTTGTAGTCGCGGTCGTGGCTGTCGTCTCTAGTCTGTCGTTGCCTCCGATTTCCGAGCCGAGGCAAGCCGAAATAAGGTCCGGATGACGTCCATGCTCAGACACACCGACAGATCGAGAGCCCATCGAGCAGACACGTCGACTGGGTTATTCTTGAAGGAGGCACACGAAGAAGAAAGTCACGCTCGTTCGACTAGAACTAACCGTAGTCGTGTGCGCGCTGCTCTTTGACAGCTGCGACAGCTCTCATAGGGCACGTAGGAGAAACGCTGGGAACTTGTAGAGTGAACGCCTGGTCATCAGGAACTCGAGCAGGCCTAGCGCGATCTGAGCGTTGGACCCGCGACTCAAACTCCAAGATTGAGTCATTTGAATCTCAGGGAATAGAGCTTCAATAAGCAAGCGATCATCGATTACGAGAATGCAATCTCAGCGTGACCCTGACGCCCGTGGGGTCTTGTCCCATGAGATTGTGAACGATCTATTCAATTCTCATTCAGTTGCGTCCCGAACGCAAAACTCAAATCCATCCTGCGCATCTGTCGTGGAGACCCCGGCTCTGATTGGCGTACGAAATCCCTTCTCAGCTTGTCTGTATCGGGAAACGAATCATTTTCCGCTGAAATACAGACTACCAATCTTAGCCAGCCAGCTGGCTATGAATGTGACGAAGCCAATACAACGTTGAGCCTTTCGGGATTCCCGAAGGAACAAGGCACGGTTGATGTGATCCTGACGCGATCGTCGGCCAGCAAATAAGATTGAGTCTCGATCAGCGAATCCAGACCCCAAGAGCGCAAGAATGGTCAGTTCGCGATTCGAGCCCCCTTGGGAATCTTTCCGAGTATGGGAAGCAGGTGGCATGCATTCATATTCCGCTAGGATTACCAAGAAAGACTTCCCAGCCCGGTTCCTGACGGCGCGGCATCCAACAGGAGCCCATCGCGGGGGAGGGGGGATGGAGAAACTGAGAAGGAAAGTTCCGGAGGGGCTGACTCCCTGTGCTCAGAATATCTCTGGCAAGACCGAACGCCCAGCTTGTGGTGTGCAATCTCGGAGGGTCTCTCACAGTGAGAGGGAATTGAAATGATCAAAAGCGTCCCCTGTAGAAGGGGCTCGGGAGATCTAGATGTCGGCGGCATCTCTTCCCATGTGTCGAATCTCGCAGGGGAGGGAAACCGGAAACTCTGACGTCCCAGATCGAATCAATTCCCGAATTTCACCTTCGTTGTATGTTCATTATTTCCACAAGAGTACTGCTTGAAATGGCTAATATTTCGGGTCGATTATTCGGCTCTCATCCATTAGAGCTCCATTAAATCGCTGATACGCATCGAGCGAAATTAGCTGTAGCGCCAAGGCTTATCTCCCAACGAATTGTTCCAATCGTTTCCGATCGTAAATCCTTTTCTGATAGAATTTTTCTGTGGAAAATTGAATCGTGATTGAAAGCCTGAGAAAATGCGGTAGCGATGCCAAAGATCGTCGTCTAAGCCGAGATGAATCGCCCTAAGCCCCCGGCGGCGGCATACGAAACCTCAATACTGGAAGATTCCGGAATTTCCGGAGTCCGAGCGTAACACTCTCACCTGATCAAGATTTCAATCGCATGCCAGATCTTCGATTCGGACGGAACGATCGCTCGATTGCGAACAGATAAGGAGAATAGAAGGAATGCGTACTCGGAGCAGAAAAATTACCCGAAGCATTCCAAAGAAAACGCTTCTATCCGAAAACCTCAATAGGACACCAGATCCGGCCAAAGGAGACCGGAAGTTTACTCTCGCGAGGATGAAGCGATTGGCTTCGTGGTGTCCATCGATTTTCCGGTGCGCTTCTAGTTTGACTTTCTCTATCCGCTCGTTTCTTTCTGAGTGGGGAGGGATCACAAGTTGAGTCTCCCTGAACTATAATATCAAGCGCCTCGAACCCGAAACGCGGTATCATCTCAGCAGCCTCCACATCCATGAGCTGCATGAGGTCATATCAAGACGAAGGTGGGAGTCGAGGTTTTGAAGAAAGATCAATCAGCAGGCGATATCGTCAATGACGCGTCCAGCGATGGAATGCTGGGGGAGTAGGGGAGCGCAGAGATCGTAGCCGGGGGCACCCGATGGCATGCACTAGACGAATTTAGAGCCGATGACCGGATCTTCCCTGATCTGATCTAATGGGTGAGTCTCGAATTGCTTCCGGAACACCTCAATAATCGAGAGTCAAGATCAATGTCAAGGTCTCCTCTATGTCCATCAAGGTGCGAACAATCGAAGCTCCAAAAAATCGAGTGAAGAGTAGAGTGATGATGGAGTCGGATCCTCGCGAGAGGAGTACCAAGGAGCGATTGGGGTTCTACTCTGTCCCCTCAGCCAAATACATCGGCGTCGTCTGTAGCGTGGATTTCTCGCATAGGCGAAGTTCGGGAATGCCAGCGCCCGTCGCGCTCCCTTCCAAGTGTGCGCAAGTTTTGAGCTTGGATATCAACTCAAATCCCGGACGACACCTAACCAAGCCACATACCTTCACTGTACAAACATTGTCGGAGGCCAAAGCTTCAGCGCGAGTCGCCGAGGTTTCGTCGGAGCTTGTCGCAACTCTTCACTGCTTGTGGGCGAACGATTCCGATACAGATCAGGCACTTCAAGGTTTTCTCGAACTCCAGTACTCGAACAAATTCCACGCACAAGTACTTGACAGCAAGGAATTATAAGAATCTGCTGCAGACAACTAGCTCTCTGGGTCTCCAGAAATTTCAGCAAGTGACAGTGAAGCAATCGCGAACAGACCTTCTTGCCCATGGAGAGGGACACGTACAACGAGGCATTCGAAGAGGAGAAGACCATTCACAACTGCGGGGACGACCACAACGACATGTAGTGAAGAGACACCAGAGAGGAAAGTCATCTCGAGCTCTATACTGATGGAGGCGTTTCTCCCGGTAGTCTTCCCTAGAAGCTCACATCGAGCTCCAAATTATGGAGGATATATGTGTCTCAGGAGATCTGTCCGAAATGAAAAAAACAGCGACAAGGCGACCGATCGCTTCAACAGCTATTCATTGAAGCCCGTGGTTTCGGGCAATGCAGTGCACGGAGACCGAGCATGAGACAGCAGACACTGTCCCGCACAATCGTTAGTGGATAATGATCCGCGTGCTTCGCAGCTGTGAACCGGACCTGGAGAGAAACGCTGTCCTTTCTTTTTCAGTAAAAGCTGGAAAACATAGGTCTTGCCCTTGCCTTGACTCGATCCGTCGACCAGCCTCTGTATGTTTGGTCGGATACAAGGAGACATAGCTTTCACAAGAGACGACTGTCGACTCAATTCCAGCACGGGTTCTCGCTCCTCTGACCTCTCCCTATTCGTTATTTGCGAGACCTTCTAGAATTCTGAGTTCGCCGTGGAGGACATGATATCCGCCGAGGGGGTCGCTGGTGCGAGCGACAGGAGATGTATTGGCTCAAATGAGTGTTCGGTCAACCTGGGCAAGAAGAAGAGTTCCGTTTGGGACTGTGTATACGCGATAATCTCCTTATGCTTGGATGACGGGACCCAGCGACCCGGAGCGTACTCGGAGAAGGTTTTCTGATTCATCTCCGGATGAAGGAGGATCTTGAAGACTGGTCATCCCGTTTGCAATCCTGCTTCCAAAGCTCGTCTTCGGCAGCTCTGGATGGACCCATGTATCGTTGAGCCGAACGCTGATATTTCTCTCGCTTAGACTTGGTCGTAGAGGAATCCCGCGAAACATTGGGGGAATCGACCAGAAGACCGGATTCTTACGGAACACCCCCCTCCGTACTCAGGAGAGCCGATTGGGATTCTTGTCGAATGGAAGAACTAGAATTGGGAAGGACTGCGTGACTACTGTAGTATTGAGTGGGGCTTCCAGGGGCTTATTCACAGATCTGGCGTTCGTTGGTTCAGTGTATCAGCGCCTCATGATGCTGCACATACTATACGTCTTGCTCGTCCTTCTCGATTTCTGTGACACTGTATCGCGGCCAGCGAAGTCAGTTCGGCCTCGAATTCACCGGCAGGAACGAACTTCGAGACGAGGACGCTCCCCACTCCTATGGACGCCGTTCCGTCGACGAGTTTGCGCACAGATTCCTTGAGGGAGCTTCTCGGACCGCTCTCACGGCAAACGCATCCTATCAGCGAGCCTCGCTCCTCGATAAAAACCGGCTGAAGCTTTATACACGGGTCCGAGCTTCGGCGTCTGATGATTCTCAAGCCGTCACCGCCATTGTCCCTTCCCCCTCCAATCCCGTTAGCTCCGTATACCGATCGCTCAAGCGATTCGCATTTATCCAAAGAGGTAGGTATAAGTGGAGAACTTGTAAAACTATCGCATAGTGGAGAATCATCAGCCGAGATCGAGCATTACGGCTACCTTCCTGATCGTTTCCCCGATATGGACCCACGATATCCCCGGGGCGGCGTGAAGCCATGGAAAACAAGCATGTCAGAAAAACCTATAAATATTTTTCTCCGTATCGAGTTCAGTCCTTCGAATGTATCAGTCCGTCTCTCGCGTCGGTCTAGCTTCAGGATAGATTCTCAGTGGTTTCCGTAAATCACATGGTGTTGACGCCTGCACATCGTAACGTAATTACAGCTCGGATAAAACTTCCATGCTTCGTCTCTTCGGTTCTCCAGTCGATCAGGGAGCTGTCGAGACCACATTAACACATTTTAAATATTAAAGACAAAATAAAAACTTTTCATTTATCCACTGGCGGTGGTTGCCTCGCATAATTTGGACCCGTGGTCCCAGCTGTCAGGTAACCTGCGATGTTCGTCGTGCCTGGGGAGAAACGAGTCAATTCAATTATCCCTTCCATCCAAACGACTTTCTCCCCGGGAAAACTATCGAGGACGAATACTTACTCGGTAGATAGCCAGCGATTGTTGTTTCTCTCGTGAAGAGATCGTGTCGTTGATCTTTGAAATCCGCCCAAATTTTGGATGCGGACAGCAGCTCGTTGAGTTCCTCGCCGTATATCGGATCCGTCAACATGGATTTGAGCGCCTGAACAATGTGCGCTTTGCTGGTAGCGTTCGTGACGGGGCGCTCGAGCAAGTCCAGGAGAATGGTGACTAGTTTCACGCTCAGAGCCTGCTGCACCAGACGCGAAGCGTTCTTTTGGAACATTTGGTTCAGAGCTTTCGCCACGAGATCGAGGGCTTCGGGGCAGTTGTCGATTGCTGTTTTCACGCCGGCCATGCAATCATTGCATTCGCTTAAAGCTTCTACACACGGCTGACTCTGGGCGAGTTCGTGCAGGAGTCGGATCGCGTGTTTTGCAAATGGTGGACTCGACGATAAGGCTGTCACGATACGTGGGATGTGACCCATGACCGGTATGGCTTCCCGCAGCTGGCCTTGGTTCATGAGCAGACCTACGATGGCCGAAGTCAGAGCGTCTAGGCTGGACTCCTGAGATGAAAAAACGCCACGTAGGACACAGGTTTCCAGATTCCTGAATCATTGCTTAAATATACTGTAATGCAAGCGTTTAAATGAAGGGACTTACATCGGAGTCTGGCTTGGACATCAGAGAGCAAACGCGGTCAAGGCATTCGGCGAGGAACTCTTTCGGCCTGCGTAGAGACCAACCAGGACTTTGAACGAACAATCTCACGTAAACCCCTGAGACCACGAGCTCGTCGTCACCTGTCTCGCTACATAGCGAGAAGTCGCTCGGGATCTGAAAGATGTTGCCGTTATTGATCGGAGTAAAATGAATCGAATTCACACGCTTCATCCGTCTGGCAGTCCGATTCCGACCGGATGAGCGAAAGGTTGAGCGAGTCAGGAACAATAAGGAACTCACCTCCCAACGTTCCGAAGGTTCGGCTCGTTGTTTGTTGAAAAGCTCGTCGCTCATCTCGCGCACACTTGATTTCAGTCTCTCCCTGCTCTCATCGTTCCAAATAAGCTCCGGATTTTCTTGATTGCCCTCAAAGAGCGTCACGCTATCTTGCGGCGACTCCTTCATGGCATCGAGGAACACCGCCGGCATGAAGCGCGCTATGACCCTGACCAACTTGGGTCCGCTCAATTTATCGGAACTCATCTTGGCTATCAGTTCCGCCGTGCGCTCCCGGACTTTAGCGTCGAGGCCGTTGCAATACACATTCAGCAGGTAGACAAGCGCACCTTTGGACATAGCTTCTTTCACTAGAGCGGAGTTCGACATCAAAGGCAGAAGGGTGTCCAGAACCGCTTGTTGATCTGAGGAGGAAAAAGAAACAGTTGGTAAATGAATCAGGATGATAGTTCAATAATCACGAGGAACACCGGAAAATCCACACGAGCAATCGGAGCGGTACCTCTCGACCCGATTCCCGATTTTCATCAATTGACAGGGACCGGAATCCACTTACGTTGATTACTTTGGAACGACTTGAGAACGAGCAGCAGGAAGACTAGAACCTGGACGTTGGCGATGTCCTGCACGCAATTCTTGTTGCCCGTCACCGACTGGATGACGTTGACGGCCAGGACTTGCAGTTTAGTGTACTCGGTGTTCAGCAAGAGGAATAAGAGCTTGAAGTGTCCGATGCAGAGCGTTTCGACCGAGGGGTTGTTCTGTATGACGTTAAATAAAGCCTCCATCGCGAGTTCGGCGTTCGTCACGCGGTCGACCTCGCTGTCTTTGGTGACGACGAGATTGCTGTTTTTAGCCGAATAGATAAACTGAGCTTGGGATCCAACGAAGGAGAGTAAATCTTGCGTGAATTGACGTGGGTTCTCCAGCGGGAACTGCGCTTGCTCGTTGTAAATCCGAACGAATATGTCGCCGACAACCAGCTCCTTCTCGAAGAGGCTGTACGAAAAGCCGGAGCCGTAGTCTTCGTCGCATTCTCCCTGAGGGATTAGAGAGGATTATCAGCTCGTATATAAATTGATTAAGCTGACATTCACCCCCGGAGAATCCGAGGGGAAATATCGATGAATGGACAGATGAATGAAGACAATGACTAGAGACTTGACTCACGGATCGGATTTTTGATTTTTGCTGCCTTTCCAGGTACTCAATGAGTTCGGCACGCGTAGAGTTGTCCCAGATAAGGTATGGATTTTCGGTATTCGAATTGAGTATCTTCAGGATTTCGGAGGGTGGGCAGACTCCAAGCTTTCTCGTGATGTAAGGAGTGAGGAGCGCGATGAGGCACTGACGAATACGTTGGTTCGGCGGGGTGGCGAAACCGGGGTCGGTGCCGGCAAGGCGAGCACACGCTCTAACCGAGAGCTCGGCCAAGTAGTTGGCTACGGCCTGTTGGTTGCTCTCCTTGCTGACGTCGACACCGCTCTCACCGAGCGTGAAATCGTACTTGAAGAAGAACAGAAGCAGATGGAACAGCACTCCACATTCGAGCATCGATGTCTGCAGCTGCTCGCACACACTCAAAGACGTAACGCATTCAACCGCGGCTGCGCACAGCTCGGTCAAGTGTTTGAAGTACAATATGCGACAGAGATCGGACACGAAATTCGGAAGATCGTTTATGAGCACGCTGCGACACGAGTCGAATTTCGCAGCGACCGCGAAGCACGCAACGGAATGTCTGCACACGGAAACCACGAGGTCATCGGGTGTGCTCGAGTGGTTGAGTTGCTCGACACAGCGAACGAACGCCTTTTCCAGCACGGCTAATCCTCCCTCTCGTCGGAGCTCCTGAACGTTGAGTTCTGAGCAGTTTAGAGTGTGGTACATGGTCTCGATCGCGAGACCCAGCAGCGGATTCTGCTTGGAAAGCAGCTGATCGTCCTGAGTTTCTTTCTCGATCATTTTTATGAGCATCGGATAACCGGCGTACTTGTACGGATGCAGTTCGTCCCGACACCTGCTGAAGAGGATGGCTTGTGTTTTGAGGATCAGGCTCAAGTTTATGGGGCAAGGACCGTCGCCCTTGCGGATCGAAGAGTCCGAGAGGTATTCGTAGGCCTTGTTGACTTTCTCGAACACTTCTCGGCCTTCGGGATTTTTGTCTGGATGGTATTTCGCTGCCAATCTGAAATAGGCTTTCCGAATCTTTGTCTGGTCCGTTTTATCCTCCTGCTTCAGACCGAGAACCTCGCACGCGTCGTCCTCGTTGATGGGGGGAGGCTTCACGTTGAGCTCTGCTTTCCATTGATCGAGAACGTCCTTCAACAACTGGACCGGTTCGAGGATCGGCCACGCGGGGAACTTCTGCACGTCACACAAGTGTCGTAGGTAATACATGTTGCAGAAGAGCTCATTGTTCAGTTGTGGATACTGAATCTGAGGGATCGGGCAGTACTGATACGGAGCCCGGGTGTTGGACTTGAGCCGCGGACTGAAATCCGCTATGTGTGTCGCTATTTTTTCGATCATGAATCGGCGCATTTCCGAATTCCAGATCGCTTCGGGTGTGTCGAACTCGCCGAGGAAAATCTCCGCGAACTTCACGGCGCCGTGATTCTCCAAATAACAGATCATGGCTTCGGGCAGGATGTTGCCGAGAATGGAACGTTGTTTCAGCGTGCTGCCCTCTTCGGAACGGAAGGCCTGGCAGGTGTGCGTCAGATGCAACAGGTTGCCGATCGGCAGGACATTCGATCCTGTGTACATGAGAATGAAGAAGAAGAAGCCAGATTGGTACAGTCGCTGGATGGCCGGATTGTGCTGCATGACGTGGGTCAGCAGGACGGCAACCTTCTCGACGAGAATCGGATCGAACGTAAGCAGCAGCTGTACGATGTGGGGGAGAGTCGTCGGATCGCATAGTCTCCGTTTGACGCGCGGCAGAGGTCGTACGATGCTGCCGTCGGGCTCCTTCGTTGGGTAGGCTTCACACACTTTGATGAGGATGTTGAGGATGAGGATAGCGAGGTCAGTTTCGTTTTTTAGGGCCGAGCTCTGCGCCATGAGAGTCCACTTCAGTTGCCCAACGTCCTGTAGTCGGTGCCAACCGTCCATGCCTTGGGCCCAAACTTTCGTATCCGCATTCACTACACCGTCCTCGTACAGCTTTTTCATCTAAAGACAGAAATTCGGAGTCAGACTCTCCGAGATATCCGCTGGCGACTCGTACAGATCCGGAATGGAATCGGAGTGAGTGAGCTCTGACCGAAAGAGAAAAACGAGCCGGAGTTTCCTTCTCCTCACCTCATTAATACTGTGTGGGCCATTTTGATTGTTCTCGTAAAACCATTCCTTCTCTTGATCCATCATCATCTCGGCTGAGGCTTCGATCACGTTCGTCTGGGTTGGGATCACGGCTCGACTCGTGTGCAGATGAGCGAGACACAAAAATTCCACGAGTACCTAGGATAGAGTTATTCATCGGGATGAGACAATCTGGCCGTAGGCAGAGAAAACCGATATCAACGGATACGTCGAAGGACGTTCGGGAGGAGCGTCCGCTTCCCTACCTTGACGCCGTTGCAATCTAGAAGGTATTTGATGTTTTTCTTATTGTTGACGAGTTTCTCGATAAACATGAGGAGACGGTCCCTCTCGTGCCGACTCGTTGTGTTTTTCAACATATCGACGATGTTCTGAGTGTCGTTGAATGACCCGATGTCTTCATAATGACGTCCATAAACGATTGCCATCGCTCGCAAACACATGCATTTCATTCCGATATCGTTCGAGAGCAGGAAACGATGGTAGAGATCGTTGAAGAATTCACGCCTGAGGAAAAGAGCCGACGTATGAAGAGCCTCCTGCATGCTCGTGGTGGTCGCAAACAGCTGATATGGGCGAAGGTCTGCGGTACTCACTGACGTCTTCAATGAAACGAGCAAATTTCACAGTGAAAATTCTCGGAAAACCGACTCGTGGAGAATACATTAGAGATAGCGAGGAAAAATACATTGATTGATTCTCGATACCGAAAGAAAACTCACGATTGCATGATGAAATTGCTGAGCGGTTGGTCGGTGGGCGACTCACGAACCTTGCGGTCATCCTCTTCAAGAAGCAGACGGAGGAAGTAGTCGCCCACTCGAATTTCTTCGGACAACGAGTGGTACGCTACTTCGAATTCCTGATGATTCCAGGACACCGTCACGTCATGACACAACTCGCGGTCTTGAGTGAAGCTGCGAAGTTCATTCTCGAGTGCGTCCCGGAGCTCTTCCCGCGTCTTGTAGTTCCAGATAAGGTGTGGCTTAGCGTGATCCTGGTGGAACTGGTAGTAGAACATGGTCCAATTCGCCAAGCTCTTAACCCTCTGTCGCCTTCGACGAAGCACCACAGGCTGCTGCCGGGCAGGTCGGGTGTCTCCGTCGGACTTCAGCTGAGTCATTCGGGACTTCCAGTGTACGAGGAACTGATCTACGTGGCGTTCGATGACTCGCCATTGTTTGTTCTTTGTCAAATGCTTGTTCGAGAGCTCTGTGGCCATTTTGAGATTGTCTCGAGTTTTGAGGGTTTCAATCGCTTCCTTCGGAGGCATCTCCTTCGAGTCCATGTAGGCGAGGAGGCCAGCGGGCTGAAAAATTCCCTCTAATTTTTAGTAATAAGAATAATAATTTTTGGTAATGTGATCATTTGATAATTGCGATAGTTATAGTTTCCAATCATCAAGGAGGGCAACTGATGAGCTGATCTCGGCCATGGCCCCCCTCATTGTTGACAGGACAAGAGGACAATTTCCTGACTGTGAAATTTACCATGATTCGTTTGAGGGCATTCATCGTGGCTGGGTGACCGGTGAGCCAGAGGCCGACCAGCTGTCTGGACAACTCTCGTAAGGCGAAAAGCCGACTCTCTGAACCCGATACATAGAGCGCATCCAGGAGGTGCCGAGGTAGAGCGGCTTCCGCCAAAGCGAGATCTTGCATTTTCGCGGCGAGTTCCGATTCCCCTTCCTTGGAATAAGTCAGAGGGAAAAATTGAGCATATGGGAGCGTCGAGAGGAGAAAATGAGAGTTATTCCAGGTGAAATTAGACGGATACTTCCAAGTCCGTTGCTCGATCATCATGAATCATCATCATCCATGGGATTGATTTCGAACTGACCTCAATTATAGCCTTCATCACACGCCCGGCGCCCTTGACAATAGCGATAGAGGTGTGTTGGAAGAGCTTGAAAACCATCCGACCGGCGTGATTAGCGACAAGCTCCAACAAGGCATCGAACTGAGCACCTTCAGTCGTTTCTGAATACGGCGCACATAAGGAAAATGTCAAGAAATCCAACATAGCCGATACTACGAGGCAGCCGGTTCCGTGTTGCTGGAAACGGACAGAATTAGTGAATTCGGATGGAGAGGAGGACCGAAGATTGAGCGGATCGAGACCTCAGGAAGCAATATTTACCACATGGTTCGAGAACATGACGAGGAGCTGCTCGAGGAAACTCTTTGAAGAGAGTATCGATAATTTGTTCAACTGTTCTTGGTAGAGGTCGCAATCGTCGTGCATGGGCTGAATGAGTGCGCACAGCATGTCCACGGCCGCGTGCGAGACCGCAGGGTCTCCGCGAGACAGTGCTGAGATCACCTTCCTGCCGATGCGCTCGCGAACATGCGGGACTTGAGTGAAGGCAGCAAATCCCGCTTTGCAGGCAACCAGTCTGCGTAGCGCGTGGAACTGGGCTTCGAGAGTTTCGAGGGGGATGCGATCTTGCTCGCCTTCCTTGGCCAACATGGCCGTCAGAGCAGCCTGGAACATCTTGTCTTTGTTTTCGAAGAGCGCGTCTTTGTTCTTCGCCGTGTGCAGGAGTCCAGAATAAGGCACGTTGGCATTGAAACGAGCCACGGTGTCGGGAAACGACCAGGCATCTGGAAAAATCCAATTCATTGATGATTGAGGATTGGCTCGAGCTTTCTCGTGGAAGTTCGACGGAAGCATTAAGGCCCCTGCGGACGTAAGTGAGCTCTGAGAGTGACAGACTAGTCGACAGTGAAGCTTTGGGGGCCATCACGGGCCGGTGGGGCAAATCGGTGTGGGTTACGAGAGAGCCGTCATCAGCAACAGACGATGGCTCACTCAAAAAATTAGAAGCAACTCTACGGGCTATCGAAACAGGACTAGCCAGGCAACACACACGAATGTTGAGGGTGGCAAGCAATAAACTACCTCCAGTTTCTCGGAATCCAAAACCCCAAATGGTGGCAATCTTTACGGCTACAAAACAGAAAGCACTTCGGAGACGTTTGACGGCAGTTTTCTGTACACCTTGAAACATTCGCATCGTTGAATTCCGTGTCAATTGTCGAAGACTCACTCGGTTGGGTGTGAAGGAACTTCAAGTGCGCGATTTCGACGTCCTCACAAACAGGAATGTACATGGGTCCGCACCGCATGCCTCGATTGATTTTCGACATCCGAACGTGAACGTCCCGATTGCCCGAGGCTCGGACACCGTCTAATAGTGAAGCCAGCAGGGCGTCGCGGTTTGAGGAGAAATAGGCTTTTTCGAGGTCGCCTTGGATGAACTCGATGAAGAACTTCCTCGGCTCTTCCCGGTCCCTAACCAGAGCCGCAATATCACTTAGGGGCCGCAACGACGTCACGTTGTACGTGACGCAATCGCGTTCCACCAAACAGGATTCGGAGATCCCGAGGATGCGCTTCACCGGATCCTGGAAGAAGACGTTCTCATCTTGATCGACGGATCGGGCCTTTCCCTGTATTGAGTGATTGATCGGACTGCATTTAACGATCACCGCCGAGCCTTCTAATGTTCTTTGAACAGTTCCCGGGAAGAAGTCTCACGTGCTCGCTCCCTTACTCACCCTGTGGCGGGCCGACATCTTGTGTACCATGAAATCACTGAGGCTTGTCACAGCTTCGTCGGAAGAATATCTTCCGAACCGCCGCAGGAGGACCGTCTCCTCGCTCATCTCGTCCTTGAAATTGATGTTGACACCCACGAATTTCATGGCGTGCTCCGCAACGAGTTTCATGAATGCTTCTCTCCGCTCAATGTAAAATACGTGGAGACGCTCGAAGCTGTCCACTGAGATCACCAAGCCGCCCGGCTTCCCGTCGAGTAGCTTAGTCAGACCAGTAATGTTTTTGAAATAATATCTGAAAGGATCGAGAAACCATTTTTGCTTCGGTCATCCAGCGGAGTTGCCCGGAAGCGGGCCGAAGGACATTGTCGATTCAATATGATTCACCTGAATGCTAGGTTCTGAAAGAGCATGATCCGGAGGCTTACCTGCCAACACATTCTCTGGTTTGTGGATCTAGCTGATTCACGGAGATCTCGGAAACTTCCAAAATGAGGGGGACTTTTTGTTCTGAGAAATCTTTCTTCATCGCTTTGAATTGAACGGCACTCGGACGCTGCTCACAGAATAAGTGCTTGAATTTCTGCAAGGAACAAATTCTTCTCGCTCGATTCATTTTACTCAGAGCAGGGGTTTCGTTCCGGAAGAGATCGAAGTCGTTCGATCGACGAGAAGACTCTTCACAGCGAAAGGGAATAACCTACCAATGCTTCAGTGAGGATATCTGCTCTGTATTCCGAGGCGAATTTCATGTCACCGATTTTCCTTCCCTCGCGTGTTTTCCTGTACTTGATTATAAATTCGGTGTCGGAGCTCCTCGAGACCAAGGGTTCGATAGCGACGAAGTCCTGGTACTCGAACTGAAGTTCACGAAGATCAACGATCAGTTATAACGTCATAGGAATCCGTTTGGATCGAGATTCCAGCGAACAGGTTTCTCAGTTGTAAGAATGCAGGCAGCGCTGATATAGCTCGATGAACTGTCAGATAATTCGCCTGGCACGGAGTTTGATGCATGCCAGCATTCGTCAATTCGAACTATTACTCAGTGCGTGTGAATGATACGAACCTTATTAGTCTCTATCATGCAGTCCGCAATGTTGTAAGTGGTGATGGCCCGGGTCCCGACGGAGAAAATCCTCGGATACTTGCCCTTCCACGAGAGCTTGATGACATTGTAGCAGGCGACATCCTCGTTTCCACCTCGACTCCCTACAGGAGCACCTCCCGTTCCTGGGGACATCATACTAATTTCCCACGGCCATAGAACTGAAAGCAAGCGTCTCCAGTAAGAACTTTCTCGCTTGGGGCTCGTCCTGACCGACGGCTCCCTTCGCGTACTGCAAGGGGTCTGAGTCATGTCGCTCGCTTCGACGGTCGCCGATATCTGACGTTGGACACCGTCAGCTGGCACTGCGATGGTTTCTCTGGCGATTTCCGAGCCGTCAAACCGCGGTCGTCGTCGATCCGAACGCCGAGGAAGCTAAACGAACTTCATCACACAAAGTCATCATTCAAATTAGGCTCATGTATGAAACAAGGTCCCGTAAGGGGATGGCACAAATAAAGTGAAGCAGAGCTGTTGGCGACAATGTGTCGATGCCCTGAGAGGAGCAGGAAGAAGAACTACTACTGACGGCGAGCGACATTGGGATAACGTCAACAGTCGAGACAGGCTCCTCTGTGGAGAGGATTGACAGACAGGAGACGAACAGCGACCCGAGGCGGCTTCACCGATGTCTCGGTGTGAACAGCTTGTCAGCTGGACCTCCGTGGAGTTCTGCGGACCCTCGACGAACTTACTCAACCAGATCACGAGTTTCTAATCTCAGGGTGCAGTTTCGATCACAAGCGTATCCCTGATCGCTCTCGATATCTCGGGGGAATGCTCTCTCGAGTGTTTGCGGCGAACTGCAAACATTGTAAATCAACGCCCGCATTTCACGCGAGCTTCGACAAGGTACGATTTTGATTACGATCGAGGTTGCCGGAGGATTATCAAGCGGAGGACTCGGAGGCAGCGGCACGCTGCGATGATTAGAGACCTCCAACAGCATTGGGCTCCCTCCCTATTCGGAACTCACGCTGCCAACAAAGTCACATGAATCGCGGACTCGGTTCGCCTCTAGCTTCCACCCTCCTCGCACCAAACTACTGATTTGAGGTTCTTCTGAGTTCGGGGTTCCAACGCTCCGGCGGCGTCAACGTCCGAGTCCACTGAGAGATCGAATTCAAATAGATAAACCGCCCACCTCGAGCTAGAGAGATGTCAGTTTCGAATGTCTCCTCTCTTACGAGCAGTCGAAGGAGGCGTTATTGTCTGTGTTTCTGCGGCAATGGTCCAACGAAGAAGTTCCGTACGACGCCGGTGACGAACTGTGTCTTAAGGTCTTGGGAGACAGACACTCACCGAAAACAGTGACAAATTCCGGAGACACTCTAGTGTTGATTTTCTAAGCCACCAATTTACTAAAGCCGAAACCCCCCACTCTGTTGATCGGTGTCTGCAGTCCGTACGACGACTTGCGGGCTGGCTGGTGGCTCCTCTGCTATAGGTCTAGTGACACTAGATGTTGTTTACATCTGGACAACCAAGATGGCGCCACAGAGCATGCGCTCTGGCTTTTGCGTCTGAATTCGAATCCTACTCCACGCTCGATGATGATGAGACAATCTATTGCGAGAACATTTATTCGATCGGCTCAGCTCGAGAAATGTTTGCGAGGATACCGGAGAGGCAGTCGAAAAACCCGCCGTTCCAAAACAGCCGAGGAGTGGATATCACGGGGGTCGCCACCCTCGCAGCTAAGGGAGAGGACGCGAAAGCGAAACTTTTCGCGCGGATCTCCTTCGGCGAATTTGGATCTTCTCACAATGAGTGGAGACCTGTCCCGTGTACATGCGAGGTCCACAGCATGGTTCAGGTTGCCTAGATCCTGTATGCGAGCGGTATCTTCAGCATTTAGACGACTGTCGGCTCCATCCACACACCACAAAAATACGTGACGGAATACCCTCACAGCCGGAGCTCGATTCAGGAGACCATCTGTTTCAGTGAACACTTCGATTGACTTAGCTATCGTCTCCTTGCGGACCGTCGGGAGCGCGACGTTGAGCAGTCCCGATTAGGTGGATCGCTCGCAAAAGTACCCAAACGAATTTCCAGCGATTTTCAGCGGCTTAACCGTCGACCACTCGTTGTATATCGCTCTCCGGCGGTTCAGAAGACGAGCTCATCAAGGATGACTTTTCGCTTTATTTCATTTCTTATGATTAAGAGTATAGGTTATTTGTATTTATATATATATTTTGATGTATATCGTTGCAATCGCTCCTCAGACCACGGCTCCTACCATCGGGCTACATCAGCCAGGCCAGAAGAGAGATCCGCGCTGAATCCACCGATGATTGCCCTCGCAAGCCAGAATTCACAATGGCTCCGCAGAATTTCGCGCTAGAGCCGCACTCAAATGGATGATCGATCGGACATCGAGAAGCTTTCGCTGATACTCCTGAGAGTCTTCTCCAGCTCGACTCTCTCTGTCCCGAAAGCCAGGAGCAATATACCAAGAGACTTCCACGGTATCAGAGGGATTTCCTGTGAGAAAAAATTATGAGTTCGGGATGAATAATCCGCATAGCGCGGCTCCTCCTTCGTTCCTCGCTCGGAGAGCATCGAACGTACTATACCTTGATCAATGTGCCTGCCTTGGTGATGACCAGAGGACAATTAATCAACGCGATCTCGAACCTCAGCTCCGAGTGGTCTCGTTCAGATTCGCGGAGAACCTCAACGTCGTGGATCTCGATATGCTGCTCCTTGAGACTCTGGAGAATCGTGTCGGATTGCAGGCCAGCCAAAGAGGCCACGCAAGGACTCGGAACGTACCACTTCCCGTTGAACTTCACATAAACCAGGTTACCGCCGCCTTTAAGTTCGACCTTGCCGACGTCGACGAAGCGGTTGTTCGCCATGGATTGCGGGGTCTTCCCGGGGCTTTTGGGTGCTTCGTTTTCAACATTCTCAGTTGATGCTAGCGAAGCCGCTAGCTTCGAGTAGCTTCGGAGAGGGCTTCGATCGATAGAATGCGATTCTTCGATTTTCGCAGGAGGGTACAATATATTCTCACCGTTGATCTCCTGCATCGTGAACACATCCGTGAGGTCCCTGAACATTTCGAGATGATCCCCGTAGCCGTACATTTCGTAGCTCAATGGCGATCCAGAGACTCTCAGGAACTCGGCGATCAATCCTCCAGCGGAAATTCCGGATGGGTGTCTACTGAGCAAGAAGCCCAAATATTGTTTGAATTGGGGGTGGGACGAATTTCCTCTTCTTCGGAGCTGCCTTTGCTCCATGGTTTAGCGCTTGCAAAGCTTCGCGGATGCGTTCGGACTCAGGGGGGACATTTTCGGTGGATTCTCGTTTAAGAATGAGGCTCGTCCCATTGGAGGGATAATTCCTAGGAGCGACGTAATACACGGTTTTGTCGGTCTCGCTTCGCGTTACTGTAAAGGCGTCTCCGCATCCATCGCGCAGGAAATCGGCCGCGGACGGGAAACCGAACTCCCGGAACGGAAGGTCCTCACCGATCAATTTTTTGTAGCCTCTTCGAAGTACCTGGAAGGAGTCGGACAAAGGAGTCGGTATCTTCGCGTCATCGGAGACGAACTCATTGTATGACGGGGAATCGATATCAAAATCGAGAGGAGAAGGATCCTTCTCAATAGCCCGAGAGTTCCTTACCTCTACGTGAACCGGGAGGAAATATTTCTTCAGAAGCTCCGAAACGACTTCGACGACGCGCACTGAGTCGTGCATGACTCAGAATCCTTGGAGAACACCAGACGGAGCAGAATCTCTCGCTTCAGACGACCAGTAATCAGTGCTGATGAGGATGCGTGGGACCGCGCACCGATGATGGATCCAGAGTGTTCTGACTTCCTCGTCCTTAGGGGGCGATTGAGAGAGGGATGACTGCAGTACCAGCAAAATAATTCATCAACTCCTTAAGCAAGCCTGAAACACGCCTGGAATAATTCAGAGTACCTCCCTTAGTTCCTAACCATGCAATCGAACTGTGATGACTAGAGGGCTGACATTCGGTACTCTTTCAACACTTCCAAGACGGAGCTCGTGCCGTATACAGGCCGACTCGATTTCGTCACAGGAAGCCGCGGGGGCAGTTTCGAAAGCTAGGGAGGGTATCTTCAACGGGACAACGGAGTCACGGAAGACGTGATTCCTGAGGTTGGTTCCATTCAAAGTAAGGAAGATAGAAATTCCGTGGACTCACCTCGGCAGAAATCACAAGTCACTCAACCAGGCTAACCGGATGCACCCGGATAGTGGTAATCAATTCGCTCTAAATCCCCACGCTCCACAACCGAGCCACCTTCATGTGCGCATCTTTTTTCCCGGGAATGTATCAGCCGATGTTGAGCCGAGGATCTAGAGCGCACGCACATTCGCACAGTGGCGCCCCCTGTAGCTAGAATGTTCCGCTTTCTTTCCGAAACAGTCGAGTTCCGTAAGAGGTCACCTGATACGTTCGCGCCAAGAATGTTTCGTTGTCTATCCATGCGAGAAGACCACATAGGAATACTCGGCGGCGATGGGACTGAAATTATATTTTCCAAACAGGAGGACTCTCGGAGAAATCGATTCCCGACCCGAAATCCGGCGGTATGGCACTCATCTACACTGCGGATCAGCTGATTTGTGATCGAGCTCTCCTCAAGGGCGGGCTTTCCGGGAAAGAATCACCGTGGGTGTGGAATCACTCACAGGACACAGCTGACTCGGAGCTCTGTGATCGAGGGATTCGGAAGCTCACCGAATCGGCTGTCAGAGAGAGGAACTCCACGACTGGCAGGAGTTATTACCCAATGATCCTTGATTACCCAAATCAGTCCATACGACATCTTGCATTCCAAGGAAGCAGCTCGGACTAGATTCGGACCACGTGTCAATCGCTTAATGCGAAGCCAAAGTTCATGACGTGGAGCCGAAAATCTCTCCGATCACGCCTCTCCCAAGAGAATAACACCATCGGTTTCTTGACTGCATTCGCGTTCCAGAGAGCTGCGAAACGCGAAACTATCTTCATGGGGCCGAGGTCCCGTTCGGAGTCTGGGAGGGAGTTTGAAGAATATCAAAGAATCCACGGCGGCCGTGGAAGCCAGCGGGATATCATCATTGAATACTACGAGAAAGACAGCGTTCAAACCGGCAATATGCCCTGCATCCTCCGTCCACGCAAATGTCGGAATCTCGATCAGGAAACATAAATGATAGTCAGAAATCAGAGCTGAGAGTCGCCCCCCCCCCGGAATCCGTGACAGCGACACGATCTTCGAGCCAGATGGCAAGTATCTCTCTGACACTGGGATCGATGAATGGGCACCGGGTGGAGGAGTTCGAATCGAGATATCGATTTCGGGCTCTGGCTGTCAGGTTATCTTTTGCTCTTTCTGGCACTTCACGCCTTGGTCTGAGGTTGCATGCCAGTCCTAACGAATTGACTCCGCAGGAAAGTTATCTCTGTCTAGATCCTTCACCCGTGAGAGCTTTTGGCACAGTTTAATGTTTAATGGAACGATACAGAATTAGGGAAGAGTCGCGGCTTTCAGAGAAACGAAATACGGTCGAGTACAGAAGAAAGTTATCTCAAAAATCGTCGCTGCTTCTCGATGATATTCCCCTCGCCGTCATCCGAGTATGGAGAGGGGGCTGGTCTTGGTTCGGTTTTTTTCAAGACCAAATAGATTGGCAGGCCGTCAAGGTCGTTTATCGTTCATGGAGTTGGCTGGATACGGCGCTTGTCAGTTTCAGTTTGTGTAATACAATCACCATTCTGTGGTCGCCGGCCGCCATTTCAGCTTGAACCACTCTTACCAGCTCGAGTTTCAGCTGGAAGGCGGATCACGAATTTGCATTTTCGGGAGAACTGGCTGAATTCCCCCCCCCACGTGACTCGTTTCTAATCCCGTCTTGAATTTGTGTTGTTTCACAGGTGGGGACATCAATTCACGCACAAATCAGGCGCTCCTTGACAGCCATTCATCTGGATTCTGATTCGACTGTCTGACGGCTGCACACACTTTGATGAAACGCGGGCGATACTTTCGGTTGCTCCAAACGCCCTTGCCGACGACCGACGGGGCGCTTGTTCGAGATGAGAAATAAGATCGAGACGGGAAAATCTCGAAAGGTTCTTGAGATTTTTGAGATGGTCGAGCTGTGACACGCTCCCAGTCTGAGGATGATGATCACGTTGGAGAATGGTAAATATTGGAGAACGGGCAGGTTTTCGAGCCCGCGAGGCCGATGTATCATACCCCTCCGAACGAATCTGTACACATACGAGGAACTATCCCCTTCATCCCCGATGAGAGAATGAGCTCTGGTGGGAAAAGTGGAGCTATAATCCCGCAACAGGGAACGGGTACGCAAGAATTTCCTTGGAAATAGCAATCGTGATCTCGACGAATAATCGCGGGAAGAACCCGTTACATGAGGATGGAAGAATGTGCTCAGCTTGCCGACCGGTAAACTAGGCCAAACCTCGATCTAACGGGTACTTCGGGTGCCGTATCGGACGGTGTGACTCGGTCAGGGTGAATCAGCCTCAGAACATAAACGCACTACAGTCTTTCCCTCGAGTCCTCGCTCAACACGTGAATTTCCAGGTTGAATCCTACCAAGCTGCCCGCGGGCTCGATAAATGATTTTTTGCACCAAATACGAGAGCCGAGAGCATTCCTTCGATTCCCGACCAGCATTCCACGGATCCTGGCTGACTTGACCATAGCGCCGGCGTGCGCGAAATCCGATCCAAGTGATCAATGACCCTAAATATTTAGCCAGCCCCTAATACCGGAGGAATGACGCTCTAGGTCTCGTAGTCGCTTCCTCTTGAACGCGGATCAGCGTAAGAGTTTTAGTGGGTTCCATAAAGGTTGAGGCCAAAGTGAAGTATACCTCGAGAACGGTAAGGTTCCATGATCAACAAGGGACTTTTTCTTTTTCCGACAAGCTCGCGGCTATTCCTCCATGTAATCGTAGGCTTTGTTCCAGAACTCGGAAATATTCGGGCATGCCCGGAAACCGCGGTCGAAAACCGCAAAAAAACCGCAACATGGGAACCGCGGTTAAAAACCGCGAAAAAAAAACGCAAGTTGCGGTTCCGTGAAAATTAGCTCTCATAAGACGAATTTCCGCGTATATGATCAATTGAACGCTGCAATTGAAAATTTAGTGGAGTAAACGAAGTCCTTTGCGAATAAGGAGACTTCATTTTCATTTCACAAGAGATGTTGACGATTTTAATTTAGTTCCGATCCTAATATCTCCGTGAGAGACTATTCCACGAGGATACCGGATCTTCACTTGAAAAACAACATGAGCACAATGTTTCTCTATGTCATATGAGCCACCAGGCTTTATACTGGAAGGCTTTGCGGGGGATGAAAATACCGTCGAGAGTCTTCGGCTTCAGTCTGGCGCGGTTCTCGCCCAACAAGAGGCGAAGTATGCTGAAGTCTCGCTCCGGCTGAACCGATGTTGGAGGTACGGCCTCGGGGAATCTCCGGCCTGTATTGAGGAGATATCCGCGACCACCACCCGCCCGATGGAGAGTGAATCCTTTCCTCAAAGCTTTGGTGCGGGCTTCAGAGACTCCGTCGAGGGCGGCTGGAGTTGAGGGGGTGGAAAATATATTCTCCCAAGATACAGAAGCCTGGAACAGAAGCAGTTCAAGCATTGAGACATGTGATCGGTCGAGCGAGCCACAGTACATTACAGTCACTATGCAAGGTCAACTCACTCTCACTACGGATGTTCCATCCTTATCGATTTCGGAGGACTCAGAGCTTTCCTCAAGACCGAGTATATCCTCCAAGACCCGAAGAATTTCTCTGTCTGATGGTCTCTCCTGACCGATCTCCTCCTCCAATGCGAAGTCGTAGTCCAACTTTTCCTGAACAGCCAAGACGTTCGAAAGGATGGTCCTCCTCTCCGCTATCTTTGTCTCCGGGTTCTCGTGGAGTATGCCGGCCAGCTCAGATCTTGCTCCACGAACCTCTCTGAGCAGCAGGAGGGACCTCTTATCGGCGTGCGATAGCGTAGCTTCCCCTTTGCACAGGAGGAGAATCGCTCGCTTGGAAGGCGCCAGTATCTATTCCGAGTACCAAACAAAGATCAATCCCGATACGAGGAAGAATGAGTCACAGATGAGAACCCCCATCAGGTATACTCGTTTATTCCTGCAAGGCTCACCGGAACATTGACGTGTATCGAAGTATCGAGTACTCTACGGAGCTCACCTTTGTATAATACAAACGACGCACTGTGCTTGGTTAGAACTTTTCCCGAACCATTTCCAAACCCAGCTCTTGGGCTTATTGGTGTATGAGGATCGGTTCATTCTTGGAATGATGCATTCTCGAAAAATTTACACTTCTGTGACGACCACAAATCAGTCTGATGAGACCACGATCCTCTGTGTCAGCCTGAGTCGCATACGTGCATGTTTATACGTCGATCGCACCTCCATTCCGGAGGGAAGAATACCCCCGTCTGGGGTACCTGTCTCTCTGGAACTCGCGCGGCTCGACGGATTATTCACGGATGCGAGACCATTGAAAGAGGGCACTTGCTCCCGGAAGAGCCCTTCTCCAACGAAAACGGGCATTGAGAGATCAAATTTCTCGGAGGACTGATAACTCTGGAGCCGTTCTATCGCCTCCCGCTGGAATTCAGCGGTATCGACCCTGCGGTTTCGGAACCGCAAAAATGTTTCGGTTCTTGCGGCTCCAGAATCGCATTTCAGGTGCGGTTCCCCCGGTTCCGGAACCGCTGCAAAGCTTACTGCTGATCTGCGCAACAATCTTTCAGGTACTTCTCCTCGATGATGATTCGCCAAAAAACGAGCTGAGGGACATCGATGCTCGAGGAGGTCGCTCCCGGCGACTCTCGATCCGCCCACGATCGAATCGTTTCCCTGCTCCGGAGATGCTGCCCGCGGTTGGATGACCTGTTGCGGGACTCTCCGTCGCTGTACGGCTTCGAAACTACAGCTTCTCCGCTTGAGCAAGAGCTGCTCGGGTATCCAGACTGAAATAGGAAGCCGTTCAGCTTCCCCGCTCTAGCCATTCGATCGAGTGGGAGCCTACTCTATTCGCTAAGTGGAGTCCGTGCAAGCGTGAAGAGGTTCATGGCTGTTTAGAGTGGTGGTCTCTGAGCACGCAGTCTCTCTAAACAGTCCCCAAAGCGCTCTCCCTCTGGTAGATTTCCACCTTGCGTGAACTTGACCCGCTCTCACACCGGTAGAGAGGGTAAAGTGCGCATCTTGCTCAGTGTCTCGCCTGGTTTGAGGTTGTACTGTTGCTTCGCGCTCGACGGACTGAGTCTCCTGCGAGCAGAGTCGTCTCGTAGAGCCAAGTCGTTCGCGAAACCTTCCATGACGCACAAGTTGTACATCACCGATGCTTAGTTGTCCTCATCATTGCTCTGAGTTCCTGCCCGCGCGTTTCGAATCGTCGAGTCAGATGATCTCCAGATGAGAAGAATCTTCCTATCGGCTTCCGTGCGAGCAATCAGAGTTCTCGGTTGACACCGAGTACCTATCAGTGGGGGGATGGAAGAATTCCTGGGAAAGACGGGAAAATGGCATTGGCCAGTGTTGATTATGAACGCGTACGTCGCTGTTCCCCACGCCTGGTTTGTGATGGCTCCATCGTTTTCGGAGCCCAATAAGCTTCAGTATTGGTGTGCTCCGCCGGAGAACGTCACATTGCACCAATGGAGGCTCGACAATCAGGATCTGAGTCTGAACTGTACCGCGCGCTATGACGGCATCGTGACGAAGTGCTCTCAATGGGAGTTCGACACGAGCGAAGTGTACAGACCCCTACAGATGGATGTGAGTGAGAATATATTGCCTCAAGTCGGCTCCTGACGATTTGAGCTCATTTGACTAAACGACCGATTCTCCCATGCGAATCTAGTTCGGAATCGTCTGTGACAAGGCAGTATTGACTTCAATTCACCGGAGTCTGCTCATGGGAGGTCTGATGGCAGGAAATTTCATTTTTTCCCACTTCTCGGATTGGTACGGAAGGAAACCGCTGTTGGGATTCTGCACTTTCATTCAAGTGCTGTTCAACTTGCTGCTCTTGCTGGCTCCGACTTACGGGTGGATCCTGGCCATAACGGTTATCACCGCTTGTGGGTATGGGGGCCTTCAGAACATCCCTTTTACTCTAGGTGAGTGACGCTGACCAACAGGAAATGTCCATAATGAAGGCAGTGAGCGGGACACACTCGAAGTCGGCACGTGCTCCAAGCAGCCGACCGAGCTCCTCTCGATCCAGATTTTGCTTCATGGTCTCTGAAACAAGGGTATATCATGCGAGAATACGATTTCGGAGAAAAACTATCTGAACTCTTTCTGAGGTCCTATTCCTCCGCAGCTATGGAATCCGTGGGTCAACCGCAAAGAGCTTTCGTATCCACTTGTGAAGAAGTTGGGTGGATCATCGGTCTCATTATTCTACCTATTTGCACGTATTTCGTCCGGGACTGGAGATATCTTCAACTCTGCATAATTGCTCCGGTGCTCTTGACCGTCGTGAATTGGTGGTGAGTTCCTTGACAGCAGAGCGCGTTCCCAAAAGATTCCTGCTTGCGAACTTCCGGCGGATGATTCATTATTTCCTCGACAGTTTCTGCGATGAATCTCCTAGATGGCTTGTTGCACGAGGCAAAATTCCAGCTGCCAGGAGATTATTGGAGCGGATCGCGACTAAGAATGGAATGGAGGACCCCGTGACGGAGGTTAATAAGGTTCTCAAAGCACACAAGCAGGTGAGGTTGACGACTCTTCATGCGAAGGATGTTCCTCATGAATCCGCGCTTCCCAGCACACGTCTCCCAATGTTCTTCATCATGATAGTCGAGTCAGTTTTCCCGCGGAAGCCAGGAACAATTCGTCTCGAAACATCCAGGATTAGCTCCCCCTCACCCAAGACCCCTGATTAGCATCTAAAGGCAAGGCACGCGTAGCATCTCGTCTATAATGACAGAAGGTCTTCCGAAAGCGTCAACTAAACGAGAGCTCCTCCTGCTATCGTGGGACGGACGCGATCGTCGAGCGAACGATTCGCAGCGATGAGAGCGTGGATATGAGTGATTGGGCAATCCTCCTCCAGGGAAGAGAATTATCAGTGGGACGAGCTCTCGCGGTCTCCCGGACGCCGACGTGGCTGCGAATTCTTGAATTGTCCTTCGATTCGGGATCAATAATTTCGAGAGTAGGGCGTGAGGTTGCTTGTCGCATGCAGCTCCATTCTGATGGCAGTCGTCTCCCCTAGCATCCTCCAGACCGCCCTGAGGGACCTACATGACTCGCCTGGAGCCTGGAGCGGGAGAAGTTTGAGCTCGACTCCGAAGCCGGAACAATGGAATCTCGTTAACGCGGAACCGTCTCGACAACTCCTTGTATTACTTGGCAATCGGAATTAGCCTAATGAAAGATTTCTGCTTTTGCGACGCTGTCTCGGCTTTCGCTTGGAAGGAACGTTGAAAATGGAAACCCGCCCAGAGTAAACCTAATACCGGCTTCGAAGTAGCGGCCTCTCGCTCCAGACAACGTCGGAGAAGCATTGTAGATCCTACCGTGCTTCTTTGATCATTCGGGCCATTCGGCAGCCACCATTAGATTCTCCATTCGGATGAGTCGTATTCGCTCGATATCGTAGAGCGTCATTCATTCCGGTTCCGAGTGAGATACCGTTCCCCGTTTCTAAAATTCTCGTTTTCAACGACATTCCTCGTTTTATGAGTTCAAAGGTCCACATTAGGGCCGGATTAGAACACGGAAAGGCGAAATTAGAATTTCGCTGAAAGGGTGCACACGGAATTCTAGACGGCTTGTTTTGGAAACAGATGACGGAATCTCTCCGGCTGCATGAGAGGCCGAGAATTTCTTCGGGATGAGAGCCAAGTGCATACCTACGGATCGGAAATTGTAAGACAGCTCCACCTGGCGGGCTCGCGCAGGGCCAGCCGCCTTCCCCACTGCTTAGTCTCCGGTCGTAGAGTTCATTCTCCTCTAAACCGCGCCCGACGAAGCGGTCAACATCTATATCGATTCTGAGCTCCGGGTACTCCTCTTCGATCGCTGGACCAGCTTATCGGTGCCCACGTATTTTCAGCGAAATGACGGAGGCCGGACTTCCGAAAGGGAACTCGGTCAACGTCTTCACTGGTTTCACATGGTTTTTCGTCACTGTCCGAGAATCCCGTACAAGTATCAGGAATCGAAAGTCAGACACCTCTCTCCATTTGGAGCTTTCCACTTGCGAACGTCATCGTTCCAGTGGTTTGCTCGTTCGGTACGAATCCGAGCCTTGGGTTAATTCGACCACCGAGACTCCTACGCTCGGATTTCCCATTTCGGCTATCGGAGGACTCGATGATCAATATTACAGCTGCGAAGCCCTAACGCGCACTCTCATCGGACGCGACGCAATTCATGGGGAAGCCTGATATCTGAAACAAGAGAACAATCCCACGCTGCTTGTCTCCGTCGATTCTATCAGCATAGACTTCTCGCCATGAACTTGTCGCCTCCGTTCGTGTGGCCATGTCGTGCATCTCTCTCTAAGAGTTCGGAAGGATTCCGATGCGGTGGCTCGTCTTCGGACCGAGTGTTCCGAAAGCTCCAGCTGGGATCTTTTTCGATGTTTTCATTCGTTCCGACCAAAATTGTCACAGAATATGTTACAGAGCGGAGCTTGTCCATTGAATAGTGATGGACGACTCTGGAATGTAGATCTGCTCTCACAGAAAATATTATTCTCCTCCTAGGAAACCGTCAACGGCAGAGCGAGCGTGGTGGATCTCTTCAGGGAATGGGACATAGCGAAAATGGCGATCTCCTTCTACATCCAACTGTAAGACTCCCATGTACGCCGCCACTCGATGTATCATGTCGGGGAAACTTCTCGAGGAGTTCGAATCTGGCGATATTCAAGCTACGAAATCGAATGGTCTCGCTGGGTTTTTCACCATCGCACTCATTAGCTCTTCAGAATCGGGATGAGCTCATCCGATGATGTCATGTGGGTGTCTCGGTGGAGTGCATTATCTTCTCAACGCTTGGTCTATGACGCCTGTATAGCGAATGCCGAGGTTTTCGCTGCGAGCGACCGGTTTTCTCCCTCCGAATTCATTCGTTCATTCGTGCGTCCAGAGGCCTTATCTGTGGTCTTGGATTCTGGCGAAATACCAAGACCACAGATAACAAGAAGAGAAGTTCTGCTTTGCCAACTTGATGTCGAATGCGCGGCTGCGTCTCCAGACGGCAGAAACGAGAGCGAGACCACAAGGCTCGGATCGCATTGTGTCGAAATGCATCGGTGGATGGGGATAGGACGTAGAGGAATTCCTACTTGCCGGCACCACGACAGAACCGCAACCAAGACCAGATAACAACGGCGGAGCCGTCGAAAAGGCGCAAAACAATATGATTGAAACGAACACGATTTCCATCGATATTATTCTGAACTGGTTCATTTGTCTGTTGACATCTCTCAAGCTAACATCGGCCTTCGGGATAATTCTCAAATGATCTATGATTGGAAGTAGAGATCGGAAGAATCCTCATACCACTCATATTCCTGAATTTGGTCTGAATCGGGACCCAATTATTCTTCTTCCTCGGGAGGGGAAACGCCAGGGGGATATTCCCTCTGAGATAGGATCCAAAGGATAAGTGATCCGTGAGTTGGCCTCGTACGAGATATGGAAAGCTTAATAATCTGCTCGTCGAATCCACAGTGCCATGTCCGTATTGCTCTACTTCTCGCTGATTTTCTTCATCGTCGACATCGGAGACAATCCGCATCTCAATCTATTCGTTTCGGGATTGCTCGAACTCCCTCTGATTCCGATTGTCTACTTTGCTTTGAAGTTCCTGAAGCGCAAGACCCTGTATCTCTGGGTCCATCTCCCGTGTTTCGCTTCGACCCTAACACTCGCCTTCCTGCCTCCAGGTACCTACTCATTCGATCCGATCTGCGAGTATATTCTGAGTGAAGGAAAAATGATTCCTATCGGAACTATGAGAAAAATCCAAATCCTCAGTGAGGTCTCTTCCAGGCTTCGTTTGGACGCAGGTCATCCTGGCCAGTATTGGGAAATGGGCCTCGCAAGTTCTCTTTTCTCTGCTCGTTGTGCACGCGGCTGAATGCTTCCCTACAGAAGTCCGATCGGTCGCCGTCGGAACCTCGTTCACGATGTCTCGAATCGGAGCTATCATATCTCCTTTCATGGCACAACTCGTAAGTTTTGAACGCTCGAGGTCTCCTCCGAGCGTTCCCGGATTCCGAGAATATCTCAATGATCGGTATCAAATGTTGCTTGATCCAATGCTGGGACAACCGGATTCATCATGTGGAAATCATTCTTCGACGCAATTTCCTCGGCCGAGCCTCCCGAAGACCTCCGTCAATCACGATTCTCAAGATACCATTGACCATAAGTTATAATTCATTCTCCTCGATTTCATTCACAGACCACAAAATGCAGCAGTCTTCTGTGTGCGGCCGTGGTCGTGGTCGCATACCTTTGGACTTTCGTTTTGCCGGAAACGTCGACTTCCTCGCTGCCGGACACCTTGCATGAAACTCGATGTAAAATGCAAAGCGCGAAGCTGAAATCTCAAAACGAAAATCCCAGCAATGAAACCGCTGCCTGAAGGAGTCGCTGCGAGCGCTTCTCGGTCTGACACCATAATTTATTGATATCGCAAGCACTGTGTAATATACATACATGGAGTTCCTCGCTGTCTGGCGAGGAAGACGGCCGATACGACTCCGGATCAGGAGGGGGAAGATATCGATGACGTTGGGTGACGAAAACACCGATGGCACTCGTGAAGAGGATGCCCGCAACAAAATATTTGAGGAATAAAATGCTTCCTATATTTCCGAAAGCCGCTGCACCGCTCCATGGGAATACCTTCCGAGAGTAAGCACTCGGCTACAAATCATGAAAGCTCTTCCAGACTTGCATGATAGCTCTCGATCAGAAAGAGAAGGAAGCTGGTCAACAGGCCTGTGGCTCCTCAGTTCCAATGACGCTGCATAGTGTAATGAAGCTATCGATTGAATCGCAGATTGTGACGAAAGAGAATCGACGAGATAAGGAATTTTCTACGGGTAATCTGACCGACTGAGACAGTCGCGGAACAGCCCGCAATGGGGTCGACGGATCGAACAGAAGAAGAAAAGTAAACTTCCTCTCTGCTTTGTGAGCTTGACAGCTCTCTCAAAACACAAGCTCTGAGACAGACGAACACCCTGTGCTCAATCAAAGTTCGTTTGTGTTGGAAACTCCCTCTTGAGAACCAGCATGTTTCCTCCAGGGCGCCTTTCGCCGCTGGTCATGGATAGCATAAACGGACTGGGGTGGCTCTATATAAGCGCGGAGGAACCTGTCGCGGTATTCGTTCTCGGCTCACTCTCCCATCTCGAGCAATCCGACTGACAGGGGTTCTGAGTTCTGAGCCATTTGAACTTTGATCAGTGTCGGAGCGCCTTCTTCTCGACGAGCATCTCAGCACCTAAGGGACATCATGGGTTTCGGTGAGTACTACAATCGGCTTTAGTGAATTCGAGCCTTCTAAGTCTGTCTCTGCTGCATGAGACCGTCTGGAAAGGAGTGAAGACCGGGAATTCAGACCCCAGAGTCTGTTGGAACCAACATCTCGCTTATCCCATGCTTCGAGCCCCATCTGTGTTAGCCATCTGTGTTTGCCAGATCCTCATAGCTGATCCGTGTCCTTCACCTGGATTGAGGACCCTCTCGAAGTCCGGACTAAGCAGTCGGACGCGTCGGAAACCCTAGGATCGAGAGTCGGCCCATATCGATGTTTTGTGAACGGAATACGGACTGTCCGAGTTTTGAGAGTGTATCTGGTCTGAGCAGCGGAAGCATGCTTTCACTCCTGGGATTTCCTTGTCTCGGGAGGAGCATCGCAATTTGTCAGCAGTCCTGCATTTAAAATTGTGGGGTCGACCTGGCTTTGAATCTTTTCCTGACACATCTTCGGACCTGCCGACAACGGCATTCATGAGCAATTCCGAGCGCTGGAATGCGAATGGCTCCGAGCCTTGTCGCCCCCTCCGAGGTCTAATGATGCGCAAAATATTGAGTTGATGCCTGAGGAGAAAACGGATATTTCTCTTGAATTGAGAGTATCGGAATGATGTCAGAATCAGTGAATACTCCATTCTCCATCCCGTTTCGAACGACGCAAGGGGTCTGTGAACAATGTGCGGAAGAACGCAGGAGTTAGCGCGTACTACAATTTCGCATGATAGCGCCTTCGGGAAGGCGAGAGCTCGGGCAGCGTTCTCGGAACGATAATTTGAATCGGTCGGTCGCGAGCAGTTCTCTTCCTCAGTTTGACTTTCGGTCAGTTCCGTAGGAGGCGTCGCATCCCGGGTTCCGCAAATTCCGGGATAACTGAAAAGATCTTCGCGGCCAGATCGTATCATGTCTCGCTTTTCATCGGGCAGAGATTTGCAGATTCCATTGTGCTGCTCGAAAAAATTAGCGTCTTCCTGAACGGGATGCACTCCGCTCCGATAATGACGGTTCGTTGGGCTCGAGTGCCTAATTCACGCTGGAGGGTCGCATTCGCAGGAATTTTCGAACTCCAGATCGGCATATCTTGGCATGCTGGCGCAGCGAGGAATTCCAAAATTGTGGAGAGAGAAACACCGAAGAGATCATCAAATCGGGGAGGTTTGGGGTGTGTTGGCCTCCGAGTGCGAGCACTCTCTAATTGCAGAGATTCCGACTGCGAGGGCTTCTCGCAGCCGTATAGCCTCTTGATGTTCGTCAGACTCGCGCGTCAAAGAGCACCCAAAGTCCGGAAACGATATTGAGCGGAGGCCTACTCGGTGTTCCTCGAATCTTCGCTCGATTGTAAGATCCGAAGCCCTCCATAACCCGCGGAGACATGCGGGTGCAGAACTCGCAGGGATTCCAGCCGCTCCATGGTATTGACATGAGAGCGTCATACGGAAGTCCACTTTCGCGGCAGTTCCTCCATTTGACTCTATGATCTCTCGGGGAATCGCGATGGGCTACTCGACTCATGCATCCTGAGCAGCAGAAAGACGGCATCGTCGTGTAGGCGCGTCAATATTATTGTACGATTCTTTGGAATGCAGAGGTCGATATGATGGAGCAGTCGAGAGGATTGCGAAAAAAGCTCAGGATCATAAAATGTTGAGTCACGGGAGAGTTTTACATCGAGTCATCCTCCAAGTTGGAGAGGGTGAGGGAGAGGGCGGAGATGTCTCTGAGTTCACGGGGCTATCTCTCAGTCACTGAGTCACTTGCGCCGTCAATCACATCATACATCATACGGTTTGAGATGCGCACCCGGAAACCCTTTGAAGCATTCGCAGATGAAAATCGACCTCGCGGATCCGTGTGTACAGAATAACCAACGCAGAGATAAACATGATCCTGATGAATTGGTTTACGGAGAGAAGATATTGATTTGCACAGTATGAAAGCAGCAATGCGTTGTCACAGCTTCTCTATATTCACTTCAGCATTCGCTATGTTCGGGTTGAAGCGATGATAGCCGAGATAAGACAGCTGTCAGATGGGTGCACGGCTGCGTCTATCTGCGCAGAAGGAAGTTTATGAATGAGTGAGTAAAATGTGTGCTCGAGATCGGACGGGAGAAGGGCGAACCGCGTTTAGGGTCCGCGAAATTTTCGCCATGGCTGAGGTGGTCTGATCGAGCACGACTCGTGTTGCCATTGTACAACATTCCGGATTCTGAATATCCGGGGAATTCGAATCATAACGATCTCGCGCTTTTCGATCTTTGCCGACAGTCTCTGAGCGTTTCAGTCTCTCCCCTATGCCTTACTGCATAATTATTGGGATCCTCCAGCCTGGTTCTTAGCGAGTCCACCTGCGTGGCTCCCAGCTGCCGCTATACTGCGCCGACGATGATGTCGCCTTCAACGATGCCGGGTGCTCATGTCGCGTGGTGATGGCAGCTTACGGCAGCTTCAGCGTAGACTTGGTGGCACCGCATGGGCAGGTTATCTGCTCGGTAACGCCTCTCGATAAGCGTGTTCCTTCTTACCCTCAAGAATAGCGATCTGCTCCTTCGTCGAGGTGCTCTCGCCTCAAATAAAAACCCAATTCCGAACCAGTTTTAGCCTAGACTACTTCCTGAGGTGCGTTCGATCCCGAGGGGGTCTATTCCCTCGGCAGGTCCCGAGCTGGAAATCACTGTGACGTGCTAGAGACATCGCTTTCTTTGCATGCGGTTAATGCCATTCCTAAACCAGGAATCTCCTCCGGAGTTGAAGCCTCTTGTCGATATAGTGTCCTAAGCATCGAATTCCTGAACTTTCGGTGCAGCCTTAGTACCCGAGCTACTGCTCTCTGGATGGTGATTACTTTCACACGCTTGACATTGCCCCCCCGTCTCTTTGGACCTTGCGAAATACGGCCGCCTCCTGGGAGATCGGGGATCCACGAAAGCCGCTCGAATAGCCCCGGCACCCAAAGCCGAACTCCAGAGCTAGACTTCTGACAGGTTTCTCATTCTGTTCAGTCGAAGACACAAAAATGCCCACGACGGAGGAAATAACAGCGATAAATGTGGACCCTTGGGAGTCTTCAACTCTCGCCGACTGCCGGAAGTTCGCCACGGAAATCATACGTCGACAAACTGTAAGTTCATTCCCACAACTCGACTTTACTGTTCCACGAGAACCTAGCGAGGAACTCCGGAGCCCGAACCGAGAACGAATGTTCGGGTCAGAGACTATCCCGCTGAAAGACCTTCCCTAGAGATTACGGAATTCCTCACCTATGTCCCTCGTCCTCTGTTCGAGCGGGGCTGAGCGTTTCGCGATGGGAGGGGAGAATCTGTCGTTCCCCCTAAATCCGATTCTCTCAGCTATTGCAATCCGTGGCTGAACACGATATGACGACATGTGGAGTCATGGAAGCCCCTCGACTTCAGGCTCAAACAAACTTTCCTTTACAGCAATTTGACGAAGCCTTCTTCATCTGCGATCTCCGAGATGCCGAATACAAATGCAAGCTCTGGCGGGAGAGCATGCCACGAGTAGTCCCCTACTACGCCGTGAAGTCGAATCCGGATCCCCTCTTCACCCAAGTCCTCTTCAGGAATGGGGTCAAGTTCGACTGCTCCAACCAGGTGAAGATGCTTTCCCTCGCCTTTTGATCGACTGCTGAGCTCATGTGGGATAGAAATAAGTCTTCCAAAGGTGACGGTGATCCTAATTCTACTATTCTCGTTCCCTCAGAGAGAGATGAATTTCGTCCTCGACAACGTACCCGGGGCCAAGGGATCCGATATGGTGATTTCCAACACCACGAAATGCATCAAGGATATTGCGTTCGGATGCGAAATCGGAGCCACTTTGATGACGGTAGACTCCGTCGAGGAGCTGGAGAAAATTGTTCCCTTCAGAAAAAAAGCAGAGTGAGTTCCCCATGCATGTTCCCCACGCTCGCGCTTCTTGCTTCATTCATCAGCCAGAGACGCATTCGTCTCGATCGATTCAAGGAATCAGTGCGCAACAGTTCGAATTTGAGCTCCCCGAAGGCGATCGACCTTCGGCGAGTGCCGAGCGTGCGCTTCTGACAATTTTTCTCAAGACATGCGGATACCTCCTTCGATTTCTCAATCAGCTGTAGAATCAAAATGCCACGGGTTATCTCTGGTCGTATCCACGATAAGAAATTCCTTCCAACGGAAATTCAAATGCTGGTTGACTTTCTGTGGGGGCATCGGTCTTATCGATAGCTGCGAAGACAGCGAGCGGCTCTCGGAGTGGATGAAGGCCGTTACTCAGGAAGTCACCAAGCTTTAAATATCGCTTTTCACGTTGTAATCGTTTTCACTCCAGGATTCTGGTCCGCTTACAAGGCAGCGAGCACACGAGTAAAATAACGTTCAACAGAAAATTCGGCGCCAGCGATGAGACCATCATCAAGATCTTGATCAGGTGCAAGGAGTTGAATCTCAAGGTTGTCGGAACGCAGTGAGTAATTGAATAACTATCGAACAGTGTCTTGACCAATCCATGTGAACTAATTTCTCGATGAGATATCCGTTTTGGCCTTCATAGCAGTTCGATCGTTGAGGATTCTCAATCGCGATCTCTTCCAGTTTCCATGTCGGTCTCGGTTTCGAATCACCCTTAATTTACGACGAATCGATACAGCGCTCGCGAGCGATTTTCGACGTAGCCGAAGAAATGGGATTCAAAATGACCGTCCTCAACATTGGAGGCTCCTTCCCCGGTGGAGTTCGACGCAGGAAGCAGTTCTCGCAAGTAGCCGCCGTCGTCCAAGGATCGTTAGAGCGAAATTTCCCTGTCGGTTGCGGAGTGAAGGTCATCGCCGAACCAGGCCAATTCTTCTCAACCTCCGCATGGATTCTCTGTGCCAAAGTCGTCGCTGTGAAGGATACTGTGATCGACCAGACTTATACCACTGGTGCGTCGACTGATCTCAAAGCCCGGATGTCGCGTATGCAACCAATGTACAAGGTGTTCAACCAGCTATCCGAATCCCACTCACAGAAGCATCTCGACGATGCAGTAGCTGAGGGTACCGTTGAAGATGAACATCACAGTAAGTTCCAGTGAACTATAGTCGAGAATTTCGGATCGGGAATATCGTATTTCTGAAAGACGTGTGTTCCTAACCCTTGTGAAATTATCCATTCAGTTGTGCACATGCGGAACGTGTTCCTGAACGAAAGTCGTTTCAACGTAATCCCGAGGGCGACTCTCCCGCTACTAGACCTACGATTCTACCGAGTGAGCCGAGACGAAGAGTTCGCCGATGTAGGCCATAAGGAACCAGATTCGAAGACCGTCTTGTGGGGAGCGACCTGTAATCCTTTCGATCAAATTCTCGAGTGGGATCATGTGATCGATTTCAAGTGCAACGAATGGATCCTAATCGACAACATGGGAACCTACTCAAGGTGAGTTCTCCAAGCTGCCCGATGCTCCATCCCTCGATGTAAAAGGATGCTAGACATCATCTAAATGCCGAAGGATACCGGAAAATTTGGAGAAAAGAGGAAAAGTCACGAGATGTCTCAAGGACTAGTCCCGCGCTCACGCTTTCCTTCCTATTGCAGAGCCTTCCAGTGCGGTTTCAACGGATTCGGAATCCCACCAGTGCACTACATCGGACAGACCGCTCATAAGGCTGCCTAGAAAATTTGATCCTGCTTTCTGTCAGACCAATGTCCATATCTCCCGCATAAACTTACGTATATACCCTTCCACATAGTCTCCCGATATGAATACATACAGAGAACGAATACCAATCCCAATCCCGAGGCCATCTCCTAGTTCCAAAAGCGAATCCCTGTTTAGAAACACTGGCGCCTATTAAGTTAGTTATTTTATCGTCAATCAATTCATTCATTTATTTCCCCCGGAACACACCTTGTCAATGTCCTGCAGCGCACTGTTTGGAGAACTCTCAGTTTCCGATCGCTCGATTCTCTCGTTTGCCCGACGGGCATTCGGAATTCGAGAATCCCATCACGAGGCTCTGGCGAATGATTCGGGACGCAAAGTCATGGGTGATGCGGCCTTTCCGCTTGGCATATCCAATTTATTCGGGTTAAGCTTCCAGTAGCACTCAATCTTCCATGACAATCGATCAAGCTCTGATTCTACATCGGCGTGATTTGTTCACGCGTTATACATACTTATCTGCTTAAAAGACATTCAAGATGACGGCGGGGAGCCATTCCGATGAAGGGTAATTAATTTATGAACTCTCGCGTCTTAAATCTGCTAGCACGTTGACAATGCATTGCAGCAGGTGTCGCGTTTGGGAACATTGTGAGGGAAGAATTCTCAGACGGAAGACAATCGTGACATTTCTCCAAATTCATCGTCTCCGGTAGGGGCCATTGTCGACATAGACTCATCTGGATCAGTGCGAACTTCGGGCGCTTCGGAACTCCCATCCAAAATGTAATTGATCACATCGGGTCCGAGGGTGCTGTTGAAAACGAGATCGTCCTCGGTGAACTTGGAATCACGGTCGAAAGTCAGCACTTCCGACGCTCCAGACAGCGGAGACCGGATCGCTGCGATATATTTAGCATCCATAGCGATCATCGTCGGAGTCCTGTGACTAACACAGATGACTTGCTTATTGTTGGTACAGTATTCACGCAAAATTCTGAAAGGACCAAAACAAGCCCGGGTCGTATTCCAGAGCGGTGGGACGGCAGCTGGGACCTCAAGAAAAGCTTCGACGCGCGGAAAACCCCTTGGATGAGGACACGGAGTCTTATATCTTATGGCTAATAATGACGCGAGCAACAGCAATGCTGACTAGAATAAGTTGTGACCGAAAGTGACTCACTGGCCGAGTCTGGTAGACATTTCCGGACTGAGTTTCGCATCGATCTCATCCGAAATCAAGAGAGGGATCCCAAGGATCTCTTGGGCTGTTAGAACGATCGACAGCGAGTGGAGGACTTTCTCGCCTCCAGAGAGGAGCACGGGGTCTATAGACGTCGATCCGGGGAATTCACAGGAGACAGTCACTGTGCTGTTGCTGTAGGTCGATCCGGCAGGCACTCGCACCTCAATCACGAGACGTGCCGCATGGTCCGTCAGCCGACTGAAGTTAACTGGAGCCCTGCTCTGCATTTCCGTGAAGAAATGCTGCAGATAGTCTTCGCGTCTCTTGATCGATTCGGATTTTTTTGCTTCGGCTGCGGAAACTCGGGCTGTCACCTCTCTGAGGCTTCGTACGCATTGTTTCAAAATTTCCGTTTTCTCCTTCAACTTCTTTTCGGGCGACCTGACGGCACTACAAGAGAAAACCTTTAGCTCTAGAGAAGTACGGGCTACAGTAAGAACCCGAAGTGATGAATAAATTGGACCTGTCGCTTCAGAGCGATGGTGCCTATGGACTTCGTACGCTGATCACATCGTATCACGCTATCTATAACGAGCGACTGTCCGCAGAAAAATTCATTCCCAACGAATGTTCATCCAACAGCCGAAGGAATATCATCTCACGGAAGATCTGTGGCGACGTTCCGCAAAACTCGATCGAATTTCCGCGAGCGGAAGCTCGCCATTTCAAGTCGAATGTTTCTCATGAAATTCCGGAGGTCTGTCTCTGACGATCTCGATCTCTGAGGAAGCTGGGAATAGTCGATAATGGGTCCGGCGTCGAAGGGATTATCGGAGTCGATTCCCGAGTTCAGGTCTAACTCTTCGACGTCACCTGTGAATTATTCCAGGAGCTCAGCAAATGTATAGAGTCCGCTCTACTCATATCCGGATATCGCCGGGATGACTCGTCCAACAAGCCCCGAGATCCCGAGCGAGATCATTCGGAGAAACATCCTCAAGAACACCGAATTGTCCCGCCATTATGTTTACCGTGGGGCGTTGGGGCGTTGTCGGGCTCGGGATAATTCAATCTGCACAGTAATCTTTTTCTCTTGGCTTGCAGTTTCTTGATGCTCAATATTTGGCGTTTCCGTTTCACTGATATCGTTCTCGCCTCTTCTGAGTGTTTCCTGACTGCACTCAGTAATTCGAAGAGGCGGGCTTTGTGGCTGTCGTAGATTTTAATCAAGTGAGCTTTCTCGTTGAGTTTGTCCTGGAGAGCATCACTGTATTCGGTCAACTTCTGTTTCGCCCTCTCGTTAGAACGTTGAGCTCGCTTTTCTTCTTCGAGATATTCTTCCATGCGAATTCTACCGGATTTGGAGATCGTATCTTTCCACAGCGTTTGCCATCGTTCCTTCATTTCCTCGTCGTATAATCTGTACGGGGGCAGGGGAATCAGTCCGATCCGAGACCAAACATTCTGTCATTAAATATACATGGCGTCCTTCAGAACTTGGAAATGAAAAGCAGGATCTCGGAACTACTCGTCAAATAATTGGTCCCACCGATGTCGATGGAAATGTCGGAGAAGGAAAGAATCTCTTTCCATCAATCCGTCCAGGATATTGACTCACTCATTCACTTTCTTCAGCAGACAGTCTTCATCGAAGATGTTCTCCATCTGATCTCGCTCCAAGGCAGCCGAGATATCTTCGTGGCGAAGATTTCTGTCGGTGATGAAGTCGCTTATGTAAAGCAGCTTCATCAAATTTATTTCCAGACGTTTCGCTCGGAGGATCGAGATGTCCTGGTTCGAAGCGCTTCCCTGTTCAGGAAAGTGTCATTTTCTTAGCAGACGAATCCTATCTCAAGCGCCAACCGACTCAATGCCCTCGGGATCGATCATATATACCTTGAGTTCCTTCTCGAGCAAGCGACAGGATGCGATGCACGTCTGTTCGTCGTCTTGCAGTCTAGATAACTGGAGAAGCGTGAGAGCTTTAATTAAACTTTTATCACAGGAGGAGCCAGCCATATCCCTGAATGTTCCCAGAAAGACGTATGGGGGAAAACTCGCATGACTCCTACTTCCTTCGCGGCATCCTCTAATTGCTGATCGATCAGCTCAAGATGAGCGGTGGTCTTTCTGAGGGAAACCTCAATCCTGTGTTGAAGTGTCCCGACGAGAAGGCGAACAGCCCCCGAGTTCCACCGCAGAGACTTTTCCAAGGCGCGTATTTCTCGTAATATGTCCTTCATGCCAGCCAAGCCATCGGAAGCGGAGATCGCACGCTCGTCGTGCGCTGAGGAGCATGACAAAGTTCCGGCGCTCGAGCAAATCGTTCCGTCGGCAGTGACAGCCGTCAGAATCTGACTACTATCGCCAGTTTTCTCGGAAGCTGCCTGACAGATGTCTTTCGCCAAGTCCTCACGGTGACAGAAGAATATGTTCTTGCAGATATCTCGAATCCATCGTGTGATCTGAGCGGACAAACGCTTGTCCCGCTGATACTTTGGACAAACCACCAAAGTATTCGCGAAAGCTTCCACACCTGCTTTTTTGCAAGATGGGTGTTTTCTCGAATTCCGCTTCGAGGCGCGATCCGGTAGCAGAGAGATGACACAAGTTCCAGGAGTTTCGAATTGCTCGTCCCCTCTCAGGAAGGTTTTTACAAATTGTGCGGCTTGCTGGTTTTCCACTACAATATCGTCGAGGCGTGCTTCGAGAACTCTGTGGAAGGCTGCCGAGTGAAGCCTGTCCTTGGGCTTGACCATATCCCGGAGAAGTCCGTAGACAGTGCCGGACGGTAATTCTTCAGAGAAATACTCGAGCATGCCATGCATCAAGCAGCGAACTCTGAATTGTCTTGAATGCGGTGAGAAAGTTCTGCCGATCATGAGCCTGCGTCTATCTCGGAGACCCGCCAAGCGGCCGCGTTTCTCTTTCGTTAGAGACTCCAGTATCCGCAGTGTTTCCTCATGTTTCTTCCGGAATGACCTGGAGGAGGAACCAAGACGTTTCAGTCGACGTAATCTTCCGACGATCGGGATGAATATTTCCCATCATTTCCGTTGGAGACTAGATCTGTAGAGCGCACATCTGTACTTCGAGTTTGCTTTCAAGCCAGGCTCTGCCTTTCTTCAGGGTTCCCACGTGTTCTTCCACAGCGGTCTTCTGTGCAGCTCTTTGGTGCAGTCGACGTCTCTCTATATTCAAAGAACGCTGCAATGCCTGACGCGAGTTGAAGGCTTTCCGCAGTTCGTTCTCGATGCTTTCTAGCTCCTACGGACAAGAAGCCCAATCATTGTGTATTCACGATCCTCAAGAGCTGGCCAGAGACCGCATTTTCATCAGATCTTAGCGAAATTGAGTAAAGTATATGGTGATCTGAATAGATTATTGAGTTATTTCCACGGATCCTGTCGCTCGTCCCCCACACCTCAGCCTTTTCCTCATGCTCGACTTTGAACTGCCCGTCGAACTCCTTCATCTTGTTTTGGAGAATCGCGCCGAGCGCATTGAGAACTCCTAATTGTGCTAATTCGGTCAGAAGAGTGTCGATCATTTCCGTTCGTGGAGTTGTCGATCGACTGGAAAATGCGATTGCTTCCGTGACTCATCGGCGGTTATCTATTCGCGTCGGCGTCGCGTCGCTCTTCGGATTGAGGCAAGACAGGATCTTCTCCCATCTGGAAAAATTCCATGGCATGTACCTGACGGATTCTCTAACCGCGTCGATGAGTTCTTGAAGCCTCGTCTTGGATGTTGCCAATCTCCGCAAGACTCTCCCTTGAGATTCGACTTCTTCTTCGAGTGATTTGCCTCTGAATTCGTCTTCGCGTAGACCATCGAGTTTGCTCTTGATTTCTGCAATCTGTCTCTAGCCTGTTAATCATTCCCCGCTTGCTGGGGGGTCTACCCTGGAGCTCGATTAAATTTTTCATGGCCAACTGGACCACGTATGTATGTACAATGATGACATGCGAACCTCGCTCTGTATAATCACGACTTCAGCTTCCACGTTCGCTCTGATCGAATCCATATCGACGCTTTGAATTCTCTCCAGCTTCGAGCGATGGTCTTTTATCCTCTCGTCTATCATCCAGAGCTCGGCGAGAATCAACGCGCGCTCGCGCTCCTGCAGCTTCGCCTGGATGGGATAAGGTGGAGATTCATGAGTTCTGGAATCAGGTCCGAACCCTAATACTGGATCCCCAGATTTCCGCTTTATCTCAGGGGGTTGGGGGAATCCATGGCAACGATCATCTTTCACCTCTAAATTAACGTCGTCGCCTCCTCCGGGTTGCTTGAGACAATCGATTTGGTTAATCATCTTTTGATACGTAGCTATCCGTTGCTTGAGCCGGGAAGCTCTGACTCGCGAGGCCTTGAGCTCTCGCTCCTCATCGGCACTGAAGTCTTCGCCAGTACGGTAGTCACAGAACGATGCGAACAACTTTGCATAATTCGTGCATGCGCCGACTTTCACAATCATGTCTTGGGGAATTATCTGCAGTCTAGCCTGGAAACCCCACTGTCTCAGGAGGCTCACGTATTCGTCTTCAACCACTTGCTTGCGATTTATTTGGAAGCTGAACCCCGAGTTCACGCTTAAACTTTTATGCAGGAAGTACTCCGGGCCATCTTGGAGTTCGACCGAGAGTTCCACAGAGCACGATGCCGCATCTGAATTGCAGAGATCATTAGGATTCCATTCTGTCAACAAGCTCTCGGCCCAATTGATTCTCCCAAGTCGTATTCCCCGCCGTACAGCCGTCACTCACCGGGCTCTTCTCCTATCTGTGCTTGATTAATGTAATCGAAGTCGTCATCGATGCCAACAAAAGAATTATCGCAATGCAGAACGAAGGCGAGACCTAGGACAATGTTGGATTTGCCTGATCCGTTGGAGCCCAAGATGACGTTCGCTGTTTTGCTGAGGGGTATGACAACTTCTGTCTCGAAGTTGCGGAAATGGCGGAGCCTGAGCTCCTTCAGAAGCATTTTCACATTCGGTGATGACCGGAGACTCAGAACATATCGATACACCGCACTCTCGTCTGATTCTTGAGCGACGAGCGTTCGAGGATCCTTTCTCTATATAGCGCCAGGAAGTGCACTACGCTCGCGACGTGATCTGACTAGATTTCGTAAACAAATAGCTCCACTCTCGGACTGGCGAACTTCTTCGGAGGGTCGGTACGGCGCGCCGTACAGCCTCGCTTGAGCCAGAATGAGAGCAACCCCTGCGGACTTAGCGATTATTATTCTATAGCTTTATATTGTTCTAAGTGGAAGTCGAAGACGCCATCAATGGAGCTGAATTTCATCGGAGTCCTGCGGCACTGTGCTGAGTTCGCCGGAAGCATCGCTCCGCGGATGCCGTAGAATAGGGCCGCGGACCATGTACCATTATGCGAGAATCAATGATGTGTCCCAAGCTCGCCCTCCCAAGAAACAGGACCCCAGTGGAAAAGTATACAGTAGAGTCTCGTTGGAACGGACTTGGAGGTACCGGTCGAAACGGTCCCTTATATCCGGGAGGTCTGTTCCATCCGAAGACGGGTTCTGAATCGGAATGGACCGTAGAACGCATCGGAAACACCGCGTCTGCCTCTTTGCGACGCGCACAAGGGCTGGTAACTTTGCGAATCATCCGATTGGCACCCGCTTCCGAATTTCCCACTCGCGGGAATTGTTCCCTTCGGACCGATATGATTAGCACGGCAGAAGAGAGGACCGGGGCCTGGAAATCAGTCTTCTATATCCGAAAGTCCGTGATTGGGTCCGCTGTCGCCGGGTTACTTAACAATGAAGATCCCATTAGCATGTCCGGCCGAGCAATCGATCCGTCGTAAGCGATTGTCCCTTATTTCGAGGTTCTATAGTAGTCGGAAAATTCGAGAGTACCTCTCGCTCGATCGCCGACAGAGCTATCGAACGCAACTCGTGATGGGAGGATTCGATACTTTTTATGCAGCTGAATTCCCCGAACATACGGCAGCCTCTCACAGACTCCAGATGGGAGTATCACTTCATTGACGCAAGTTTTCGCCGGAAATGTTTCGGTCCACAATTATGGAAGCGGAACCCCGGGAGCTGCAATCGATCCACCGTGAGCTTTTCCCGATTTGTTCCCGCTCTCGAGCCTGTCTGCCTCAGGTAAGGGTCAGCGATAGATGACACCTGCCCGTCGAAAGCACTTAAGACCAGTCAGCTCGAATAGATTCCGATCTTAGCACCCGCTTCCACTCGACAAATGGACCCGTCCAGCCGGGTCTGTTCGATCCTAGAGAGCTATTCGAGTACTTATCCTCAGGCAGTACTCAGTTGCGGGATACCGCTATCGCTTCGAAGAATGAGAGGAGGAGGAGGGAGGAAGGTAGGCTTAGAATATGAAACCCGTCATGGCTCCAGGGGAGCGATGAAGACAGAGAGCTACTCTGCTCAATGCCTGGCCATGGACTCCACAAAAGCGCACGATTCTATCAGCTCTCAGTGTTAATCAGGGTCTCACACAATATCGAAAGTAAAGGAGACCGTTTTTAATCAATTGGCTCTCTTATGTACCAATCTCCGACTCACGACGAATGGGCGTCGCACCTCATCCCTGGCATTGGAAGTATCGTTACCTAGCAATTCAAATCCCTCAAGTGCGGCGACTCGTCCTCGCGGGGAAAATGGGCCAGTTCGATCGAGCTTTATTGGAGTCAAATGAGCGAGTGATTTTTTAAATACATTGAGTCGCCACCCAACCTGGTGTTTCGGAATCAGCGGATGACTCGTACCGCATCTTGGTCATCATCTGGAGCACTGCTGCAGTCTCATATCACTGTTTCTGACCGACGTAGGAACTTTTCTTTCCGGTTTTCTTGATGACTTCCAGTAAATCGTCCGCACTCAGAGTAGAAGTGACGAAAACCTGAGAGAAACCAGATAGCAGCGTCAGTCAATACAAACGGAGAATACCGAGGAGGCCCAGGCATCGAACTCTAATTAGTCCCCTGGAGATATCCATTCTGCGGCAGTGGACTTCTAGGATCAACTTCCTGAAGAATCACTAAATCGCATAGTGATATTCGAGCATCCGACCCAACATTAATCCGGATTAGTCGATACATGGATGTTTTCAAAATATTCTTCTCGCTCGAGCTATCTGGGAAGTGGATCATCATTTCCGTGTAGGGGACATTCGTCTAAATTCCGGAACGCTCGATATAGGGGACGATTATCATGCTAGTCGTCCGGTAAGCAAGACCCCTCTGAACCCATATACGATCTCGCCTCAGAGATAATGTTGGGAATCTCTCAACACAGCGCATTCCCACTACGAACAGATTTTGTTCCGCAAGGTTATTTGGAACGAGATTTAGTTGTATCGAATATTGAATTTGTTTACCTAAACATATTCCATTCCTGGCCGGAAAAGCAGCCCGTACAAACCTTGTGATTGGCGAGATCGATGTCAACTTTCTCTACGCCCTGGCCTTCAAGTTTGCCCAGAACGCGCTTGACTGCATTCGCGCAGCTCTGGCAGGTCATTTCAACTTCGAATTCGTGGACCTGGAGAGTAGAAAGTTCGGGACACCTTCAAACTTGAGCACATAGCCTGAAGCGCTCGATGTGCAAGCGATGCACAGACCCCCGAGTTTTTCCTCGACGATGCAGCCAGAAGCAATTTTCGAAACAAGAACCGAGATGGCTGATTTGGAGAAATCCCTACGCTGGGTTAGTAAAAAGACCCGGAATCCATTTATTCACTGAAAAGGCATTTCCAATGACCACAAATGCTCCTGTTTCGAAAAGTACTGAAGGTCTATGCACAATGAAAACTCGAGTCGAGCCTACTCCCACCTAGCTATCACAGTAGTTTCCGTTTCGGTATAGATCTGATTTTAAGATTGCAAGGTAATGTCTCGTCTTGAAGACCCTGCGCTTTCAGTTCCGGTGTATCCTGTAGGCTCGTCCGCCACATGTCGGGAGGCACTGCGGGTTGATTAGGTCGTTGCCGGTGTTTGGAACATTTTTTGAGATCTCGCGAGAGTCCAGGATCTAAATTCTCGAAGAACTTCTCGCACTCGACGCACTCTGTCGTTTTCGGAGCTCGTATCGCGGTCGACGGCTTCTCTTTCCTCGTTTGTGATTGACTCGTTATCCAAGTGGAATCTCTCTTCAGACGAGGTCTCGAACAAGTAGGGAGTTTGGACCAGAGCTTAGAGTCAGGCTCCTGTTCGCTTGCTTTAGGTTTCCCACAGGGACTACACTGGGTTTCGGGAACTTCTTCGATGCGTTCGCTTCCCTTGGTAGGTGTTTCGAGGAGCACCGAATCCTCAACCAGCACTTCAGTCGGTTCGTTTTGGGACAGTCGGGTTTTGGCTTCTTGCAGCTGGGCTTCGAGCGCCTCGATTTTACGCTGAGTGAGCGATTTGTATTTACGATGGGCTTCCTTCAGATTTTCGCACTTATCACACCTCTGCACAGAGGCGCGTTCCCTGTTGATTAACACGAATATCTGCCCCAAGAGAGTTTCCAGCGTTGTTCCTTCCGGTGGCACACAGAGCTCAAGATTCACATTCAGAGACATAACTTTAGCTCTCGAGATTAAGCCCCAGAAATCACTCGAAGCTCTGCCACAAGTGAGAGACAGAAGAACATCTGATGTCGAGTGAGTTTCCCGCGCCGGCGGTCATTGTTGAAAACATGAATTGGATGGATGGACGCATTCGCTCCGCGCATCACTCTGGCTGTCCGTCGAAACTCCTGGATTTGACTAATGGCTCACTCAATGGGTCACCGGGGTCCGGAGAGTATGGATATACGGTCAGCAATCACGTTATATTCGTACCCGCCGCACATTCAGATCGTAGCCTCTGGTCAAGTTCGCAATCGAGCTTGCTCCGGGAGAATATATTGTGCCGGATATGAAGATTCACAATCCCCGCTCTTTGAGACAGCGATCACGCGTCAGGAATAATGAAGTCCTCCCCTCCCATCGGGACAGTTCTATATGCATACTCTGGAGAGCTCTTAAGGTGCATGGACCGACGAGCAACCGCGAATTTCGAAAAGGACGAGCGATCGAACCGGCGCGGCGTCTATTTCCCGGATATCGTCGCCAGTTTCCGGTACGATTCCCCATCTCTGTTGTCGCTAACATCGGATGAGGCGCGAGGATATGCGAGAACCGACTCTAATCTGCCGGTCTTCAAGATGATCACTTCTCATATCTCATAGCTGCGAGTCACCGCCCACACGCAGCAATGCGTTTCTTCCCTCGAGCGAGGTACGCAAGAAGAGCAAAATTATTCGAGGATCTCCCTAGAGAAGGACTCACCGACGACATCGTCTCAGATCCCAGAGTACCAGAGTACCCTCGTCTCGTAGAATTCAGGAGAATGCCGGAGGGCGAACAAGTTGTTCGGTGACAGCAGCTGACAATCTCAGAATGATCTTTGCTTGGACTGGCGAGGGCAGTGCAGCACTCTTCGATCTGCGAACGTTTGGAGACAAATAGAAGACCGCCCGCTCTCTGGAGTTATCAGGACGTCGAGATCTCTTAAATACATCATTTCCATCGACGCGAGCTGCGCTGACTGGTTGGCTGAGGCCACGTAAGCTCGCAAGTTCCTACGACGCGAAGAGTCTATCAGGAGCCAAGGTTCTTTGAGTCCATTGTGGTCGGTAAGTATGCCCTCGATTCCATAGGGCCCGCTCCAGGAAATTTCCTTTCGGGAAGTAGGGATGGTGAGAACGTTCGGGACTCGAGCTCCCCGCGCTCGCACGCTAAGAGTTGTCCCTGCGCATCATCGCTTCATCGGAGCGATCGATCACGGAAGCAGTGGCACTCAAAATCAGCCAGATTTTAGCCCGGGCGTTTTTCCCGCCAAGCGTTTGACTCCCCAGTCCGATCTAATATACTAGTTGCCAATGGGATGTTTCTTGCTTAATTCCAGAGAATGAAACTCCATATCGCGTTCCTCCTGCTTCTGCCCCTGGTGTATGGG